CCCGAGTGAAGCAAGGTTGAGTCGCTAGTTGCATATATAACAAGTACATATTACTAGGCAGTACTAAACAATATTCATTTAACATATTTTTTTCATTTCCTATATCTATAAACCACATTGTTGATGGTAAATAATAATTATGTATGTATAACTACTTGCGTCTATTCAATGGATATTAAACATTACTTAGTCCATATAAATACGACCAAGTAAGTGAATAGGTTATGTTAACTCCATAGAAACATGCTAATATGCTTCGTTTACTCGCAAGTCGCGAAGGTGATTTATGTAGATAGAAATTATCATGTGTCAAGTCCGTAGCTACGAGTACCAATTTGTAGAGATTGTATTCACAATTACATTCGTATAAGGCACTTTTTCAGTTATAATTAGATAAAACACTCAATTTTCATACCAATATATATATATATATATATATATATATATTATACAACAGGGTCCCAGAAATCGTTCAAAATATTGCTATTTTTAAAAAAAAGAAAATATTCGAGAACGTTTTTGCTCTAAAGGTTATTATAGAATAAATGATTTATATCTAGAAGATAACACACCTTGGGAATGACGGGAGTTCTATTTCTCGAGATCTTAATTCAAGGCAGATGCTTTTTCTTTCTTAACTGTTGGCAGACTCATGCCAGTCATTTAGTGCTGAATGAGAATATTTGAATTCAATATGACAGATGTGTTATAGAAATATATAAGATACTCTCACCCTCGCTCTGCTTGGGTTCGTCCCTAGTTACGTTTCAAGGTTTAGTATACATAGATTTCTCAGAGATGAGATATTTTTTCCGCAGTAAAAGTATCCTATATGTATAATATACCTAATACCCGGGTAATCGGCTGTCATCATACCAAATTTTCTCAAAATATGTCCAGTGGTTTTCTCGTGATACGGTTACAAACAGACAGTCAGACGTAAATTCTAAAAACTATAGATACGTTCTCTGTCTTGATAGTAATGCCTATTTCAATAAGATTTTCCAAAAAACATTTAATGTACAGATTCGACTTTGTTAGAATTTTATTACATGTATAGATATAGATGATTAATTTTACTCCAAACATTATCGTTGCGAGATTTACTAAGAAGAGTGTCAATTGACACACTCAAATTCTATGAAACCGTACATTGCCATCTTTAATATTATAGCAAAAATTAATTAGCACCAAACTACTGTGTAATATATGATTGTATCAGACAGACGTACTGATTATATACAATTGATTTATTATAAGCAAAAACTTCGCCCAAACTCGTTTAGAAGTATTCGGTCGAATAACAAATAGGTATATGGTACAATAGTTAAAGAGGTCTGTAATAACTATAATTAATACGTAACAGGAGCCTAATTAGCAATGTGTATATTATGTTATATTTCATTAACGAATTTCTTAATATTCCAAATCTAGACTTATGTTACGGATTTCTGCGCGTTTTTTTTTTTTTGCCAAATTAATGTGACCTTAGCTGCCTAAAGAATGGCTTAGGAAGATCAAGGTTATATTGGTTTTTGGAATTTGAAGTATTAAAATTGATTGTATAAGCGCTTTACACTATTATAACTGGATGGTTTTTTTTATAGTAGTTTGTTAACTACTATATACGATAATTCTTGAATTTATTGTACTAAATTTTATCAAAATCGGTCCAGCCTATAAGAATAACGAACATACACACGTACAAATTTGCATTTATGATATTAATCTGCTACAAAAATTTCAATCTACTGAAATAAATTTATGCTTCATTAAACCGCATATAAATTTTCTGTACGAGTGATTTTTACACATTCATACATACATGTATACATACGAGTACATACTGTAAAATTGACATGAAACATGCGTAAACAAATATATGTACATTAGACGTGTACATTTAGCTTTTTGACTTTTTAATGATTTTAGACGTTATATTTTAGCTCGCGTTCTTACGCGGCTTCTCTCGTACTATAAATTAACTAGTTTTTAACCTCTATTCATAGATTTTTCCATTTGATGACTATTTTATGTAAGCAAACGCGAAGTTTCATAGTGCCTCTGAGACATCTCAAAATTGTAGTACCTAATGCTAAAATTTGTGATAATTACTTACGTGAACAGATAACACTGTAGGCCACGTAACTATATTGTTACATATTAAAGAATAATCAAGACACTGACAACATAGAGTAATTTAGTTTAATATTAATAATTTTTTTTCAAAAGTACTTGTAATAAGTCTAATTGAATAAAGTTTATTTCATTTCATTTTTAGAGCTCTATACCATAAGCTTAAATTCATAACTTTATACCACAACTTGAAAAATGGCTTATTGACGTGAAAGTGTTATATGTGATACGATATAAGTGTTCTGCGAACGGAAGTGTTAAAGTGTCTAAGTGTAAACATGGCCACACCAGCTCCTCCCCGCGTGTCGAGGAATGTGTCTTTGCCGGCCGGCAGACAGCCGCCGCCCGTGAGCGTGCTGGCAAGGCGGACTATGTCCGAAAGGTATATACCAAAAGTATCTGGATGTATGAGAGCTTTATACTTTTTTTTAGTTTATTATTAAGTTAGGCTAGAGGTAGCCCAGTGGTAACGTGCTTGCTCGAGATATCTAGGGAAGCGGTTCAAACCACGGGTCTCGCACTTGATACTCACTTATCTTACGGTGAAGGAAAACGTCGTGAGAAAAGCTGCATGTCTAAGAGAACCTGATAAGGTCTCTAAAGACACGTGAAGTCCGCCAACCCGCACTTGGCCAGTGTGGTGGACCACGGCCTAATCCCGTCCGTACAGAAAGAAGGTCGAATTTATTATTAAAGAATTTTTAAATAGGCAACGATTAGTTGACCTGAATTTTCATAGTTTATTTTTGTTCGATTGTTTATTCGTCTTCTGTTTTAATTAACTCAAGAAAGAACGTTTTTTTCTATATTAATGTTACGTTGATATTCGTAATTTATTTTAAAGTTTACCAATAACATTTAGGAACGCTTCATTAGGTTATTAAGATTGGTCCAGTTAATTTTTGACATGTTTTTTCTTTAATATATGTATTTTAATCTATTCTTGGCCTTAAGCGTGCAGTTATTATGATTATCTGTCAAAAACATATCTCACTAGAATATTACAGATTACATCAAAAACATATCTCAATAGGACATTGCAGATCGGTACAGTGATTGTTTTTTTTTTTATATTTAAAAGCCTGTCACGAGCTGTGTAGGATGTGTGTTATCGTGGGCATAACTCGGCCGTCAATTATGATAAATTGCTTTATCTCTCGCCGTACTAACTATACATTTTTGTTCGAAACGAGAAATATAACTTGACTACTTAGTATTTTTCTATTACCTATGACATGTAATATTTCCTCATATATATGTATGTAATTTAGTGTGAAATACGTATTAAAAAGTCACTGAGATTGATCGCCTTGAGTTTAGTAAGTTGCATAAAGGCATTTTATAAAAAATGAATATAATTAAAGAGAAAAAAATCAATAAGGGCCATAATAATGAATCTGACACCTCATTCATTAAAAGCGGATGAGAGAGGCGATATGGTAAATTATATGTACGTAAAAACAAACACACATTATTTAAAATACTTAGATTTCTAAAAATATACTCCTTCCTTAATTTTGGCCTTAGCTTTGACGTAGTCGAGTAATAAAATTATAGTAATATTGGTAATATTCATTCATATATGCTTCATTTATCCTTATATTCCAACGGTTTAAATTTACATATCTATCTAGACTAAGTAATATATACGAGCGAAGGCTAAGTATAGCTGTGGTAAAATATAGATGTTTTTTTTTTGATAAAATCTCTTGGTACAGGTAGTTTTCAATGTCAAAGTTGTTAATTCAAGTAAATGATCCATTAGTCCACATTCAGCGAGTTGTGCAATTTTCCCGTAGTCCATTAGTTAAAGCGCGGGCGTAATTAAAACGTTTATGAGCTATTGGCTCACCTAGGGACGTTCTGAGAATGACAAGAAACTGATGTAATCTATCACAGATTAAATATTTGCCACAGCACTAGTTGATAGATGAATTATAATTAATTTTAGGCCTAAAATACTTTCTTAGATTTACGTGAATGTTTGACATTCTAGGTAAAAGCATTTTTTCGGATATTTTCGCGGTTTGGTTTCGATTTTTTGTTTTTCACGTTTCGATTGTTTTACAGCAAATATGGTTGCGGAAAATACAAAGATTTTTGTTGTCTCAAAAGTTTTAGTATTACAGACGGCGTCCGACTATAAAAATTAGTTTCGGTCACAATTTTGGTTTCAGGTTTATGACAATGAAGTTTCTCTCAAATAATGACATCGTTGATAGAAAAATCTATCATATTAATTTTCCTTTCAAATTGCTATATTTTATAATATCTTACTCCAGATTTAATATCTCTATCGATTAGAATATTAAACATTTGTAAGTCTTTAATCGTGTATACAATACTTCGATGTATACTTTCGTAGCGGCACCAGTTTTAGCGTTTTACAACTTCCTCCGTGTGTTATGAATTGCATTTCCTTCGACCTTTGAGTTGAACCGTTTGCATCTATTTGTTTGTGCGTTCAAGTTTAGTTTAATATGAATAATCAGTCAGTTCGTTGATTGCATTGTAGTAATTTTTCAGTTTTTTGCTGCCAATGACAATTATTTGATTTTTTCTAAAGTTTGTAAATAAGTTATATTTGTAAGTTTTATTATAACTTTACATTGAAAGCTTAAATATCCTTTTTGGAATGGTAATATTTAATTGTATTTTAATTTCCGCCATCCATTACTTATTCGCTTAATTAAAATTTAAATCCGGCTCAAAGGACCAAAGCAAAATGCTTATGGCCTATTCAAATGATTAGCCTTGAGAAGCTCGGTGTATTCAATTGAATTTAAATACGTTATTTTACGTTTGATAAATGTCCTGTTATTATTTATGTATTCCTAAACCATTTTTTTCTTTTTATGTCACAGTGACTTGGAACCAGGTGCAGCGACTGCGCCTTCAGGAAGCTCGAGTAGTTCGAGTTTGTCTTCGAGAAGCAACGAGAGTAATACCGTCGCTGCTGAACAACAAGGTAACAATGAATCCCCAGGTTTTTAATTTATTTAAAAAAAACCTTACCCTCGTTTTGCCCGAGTGCCTCCCTAGTTACCTTACAGTACCCTATGTGTTACTGCGTCTCACTATCTACTTATTATAAATTTTATCCATATCCGTCCAGTTGTTTCAGCGTGAATGAGTAACAAATATACACAAAAACACATACAAAATCAAATTTACAATAGTAGTCCGATTGATTCATAAAAAATATTAAATAATAATCAATGAAGGTAGCATCGATTTTGTTTATCCATTCCGAAACTTATGAGTAAGTTATACAAACATCCGGGAGAGATACACAATGTTTTTTTTATAATGACTATAGATAATTATATGAGCTATTTAGAAGAGGAAGTCACTCCCGTGACCATGATTTCTGTAAAGCATTCAAAATGTCGGGAATTAAAAATCCACAAAGAAATCCGGAAAAGATAGTTTTATTTAAAAGCTTTTAGAATTTAGAAGATACCTTGGAAGGATTCTCTTTATTAGACTTACGTATATATGCTTCTATAATATTTACTGTTTGCAATTTCTATGTTAGTAACATAGATGATTAAATGATCTGGCCTACAAAAGCACAACACCTCGCGTCCTAATGCAAATATAATGTTAGGTCTTGCGGTGCATTACAAGTGTTTAGTTGTAATGCACCACAAGATATCATTATTACAATAACATTTGTCATATAAGGTAAGCCAACATTAAATAACTAATTCAAAAGATCATAAATTCGCCCGTTAGGGCAAGTTATACATATACTAGTTAGTACAAAAATGGATCTCATTTTAAATGTATAAATATGAGCCCTGAATATATAATAATCTACACAAAATATTATAGGTATATATATTACTATTTCATATTGTAATTAAAACTATTTTTTGGACGTTTTTGCGGTCTTAATTAGGATTTTGGTTCCTGACGTTACATATGCTTTACAGCAAACGTCTCTCTCGTTTGCGCTCTCCCGTGGCCATATTTGAAGAAATAGTTCCACAAATTCTAAAAAAAAAATACTTATTTTGTTATGTTCATCATCATGAAATCAACCAAACCTTTCTAAGTAAAACTGATTAATTTCACAGGATCTCAATCAGATTGGTCTGAAGAGGAGGACCCTCTTGCAGCGCAGTGGTCGGAGAGCTTGCCACCGCATATACGGGACACTATTATATTATCAGCGCGCATAAGGAAACGTCAGGAAGTCATTCATGGTGAGTTCTATTGGAAAGTATGTATAGGGGAAAGACGTAATTGTAATCTTATTCTCTATAGCTTTAGTTTATGTATTTTGCAGTATAGAAAACAAACTTTAAGGGCGTACTTGTCTGAAATAAGGTATTAATAAGAAATACATAGTATGCTTCAAAAAACTAGTTTTCTCGAAATAAGTGTAAAATTAAATTATTTACGTAGATGTTTTAGTATCTATTGAGTAATAAAATTTCACACAATTTTTCCAAATTTCAGAATTGATAGTCTCCGAGGGGTCTCATGTGCGTTGGTTGAAGGTATTAGGGGTCGATTTCCTGAAACCCCTCGAAAGGCAACCTTCACTTCTACCCCCCGAGGAATTACGTGCGTTGTTTCCAAACTTACCGGGAGTTAGAGAAAGACATACAAAGTTGTATGCAGACTTACGACAAGTTAGAAACGAAGCGATAAATCATGTCGTGGAAATAAGACCTATAGCTGATGTTATGCTGAATACGGTGAGTTAAAGTTACTGTTGTAAATATATTTTTTTCAAAATTGTAATAAATACAATGAAAAAGTTGCAATACAAAAAATAATTAAAAATTGTTTTCACATTGGTAATTTATCGACATATTAACATAAAAATACGGCAGAATTTACTTAAAAAATGAATTAAATACTGATATCTTCATGATATACATATAATAAAAAGTTCCATTATAAATAATGACTAATGAGACACACACAAATGATCCCAGCTGGGTGAAGCCGGCTACGCGTCGTGCCTGTCCAAGTTCTGCAGCGGGCAGCGCATGGCGCTGGACGCGCTGCGCGAGAGGCGGAAGAAGAACAAGGAGCTGCACCAGTTCCTGGCGGGGCGCGAGCAGCTGCCGCGCTGCGGCCGCCTGCAGCTGCGCGACCTGCTGGCCTGCGTGTGGCAGAGGTGAGGGGATTGGATTCAATAGTTGTAAAGAAGTAGTATGTAGTAGAAATAACTAAGTGTCTAGAATGCAAAGTTGTGAGAAAGAAGAGCGTGGCGGAGAGATGGGTGTCTTCTTTGATAGTTTTGAATAAGGGGCAGTAGAAATAAGTGAGTCGGGCAGAAAAATGTAATGTCATGTTTTTGTAGTAAAGTCTAATGAAGTTATTTGTCTGAAACATAGGCATCGTTTTTTGGGATAACTATTTTTATTTAGGGCATAAAGCGTGATAAGATTAAGAATGAAGTGTCATTTATATTTGTATTATTTTTTTAATTTTCTTAAGTACGTAATGAGTACATAATACTTTCTTAGATTTACGCGAATATTTGACATCTTAAATAAAACTATATTTTTCGCGACGTCTAAAACCATAATCTCTTCCAAGGTTGGGAATCAAAAGTGAAAATGGATTCGCGAATAAATTCGAATAATTAGTTTTATTTAAAAACTGATAATTCACATACGTCTTAACTTTAATATTATTCTTCAGAAAAAAGTTAAGAGTGGGCCTTGCCAATGCTGAAGCCAACAATATTTGAACATTTCCAGGCTGACCAAGTACCAGCTGCTGCTGGAGAGCATCCTGAAGACGACGAGCGAGGAGGGCGCGGAGCCGGAGCCGGCGGAGGACGTGGCGGCGCTGCGGCGCGCGCTCGCCGTCGCCAAGGACGTGCTGCACTCCGTCGACACCGCCATACGCACGCAGGAGAATTATCACAGGTTTGGCAGATATGATACAATAGGACTGTTAGATAGTTAAAGTTTTGTGAATGTATAGTAAGTTTCAGCTTCTTGGCTTGTTTGAAACGGCGCACGATAAAAAAACGCGCCATCTAGCTCAAAGTGATGTGGAAATGAGGTTTTTAGTCAAAACGCATGTTGAAGTATACTTTGCGGCGCTCATACGCCAAAACTATTGAGTTTACAAAAAAATTGTTATTACATAAATTGGAGGAAATTTTCTCTAGTTAAATTCTGTTTTATCGGAAAATTAGTCGGAATGGAGATATTGTCAAAAAATTGTAATTAGGCGCCATTTTTTCAATATATGGTGGCGCGATGAATAAAGATTTTGAAATTCGGAAAGAGCACATCGAATCTATAAAATTACCAATGTTCAAAACTCCCGGAAAACTTGCCAGGTAAAATTAACAAATGACTAGGCTATAGTCTCAGTGTGATTGACCTCCATAGCTGAAATAGACCAGCACGACATTATATATTATTATGTTATGTACAAATAAGCAATATCTATGAAACAGATTGTGCACAATCCAAGACAAGATAGAGGTGCGCATCCCGAGCGGCGCGGACGGGTTCGAGGAGCTGCGGCGGCTGGAGCTGGCGGCGCACTCGCTGCGCCTCGAGGGCGAGCTCAACCTGCGCACCGACAACAAGAAGATACGGGTTTTGGTGAGTTTATATGATTCTTATTCATCTTATTCTTTTTTGGAGATATTTGGCGGTTTAATTTTGATCTTTGGTTCCTGATGTTACGAATGCTTTACAGCAATAAAAGACTATGCGAAAAAAAAGACTAAAAGAAAAAAAAGAGTAAAAGACTCGAAGGATAGTTTTATTTAAAATCTTCTCTTCTGGTCTTTAAAAATACTTTATTTTACAATTTGCTCTCACAGCCCTATTATTTTTTCAATAAACTGTAAAATTTTTAGTTGCTTCGAAGTCAATAAATAGTTAATTGAGTAGGTAATAAACGGCTTCACAGGTTGTTTATATCATGCAAAATCTGTGTGGGAATCACGTTTTAACTGCTAAAATTAAAAGTATGCCAATTGATAGCGGGTTCGATTTGGTTTTTGTTTGTCTTTCTTAGGCTTTTCTCCAGCAGACTTGCATAACAGGTTGGTAGCTTGCTAACTAAATATGACAAAAATGCTTGTATAAAATGTAATTGAACAAATATTAATAAATTTAATATTTCCTGTTTTTTTTTCATTTATAACAAAATTATAATCTTAAAATTATTATTGTTCTTTGATAATATTATTATGTATGTTTACTATTTTTTAATTGTCCATCTCGACTACAAGTTGAAATAAAAAAGTCGATACAAAAAATCCATAAAAGATAAGTTTGCAGCAACCGAGAATAATACCCGCTAACACAAACACAAAATTCCAGGCGCTAATGCTAGAAGACAGTCTCGTGTTGCTGCAGAAGGAGGGAGAGAAGTTTATCCTGCGGCCGTTGGCGCAGCCGGGACATAGTACTTACCTCACGCCTATTATTAAATGGTAAGAATTCATCCCATTTCTACGTCCCACTGCTGGGCGTGCGCCTCCCTCCAATACGAGGGGGATCAGGCTGTAATGCACCACGCTGGCCAAGTGCGGGCGGAATACACATGTCTTTCGTAAAATGGCTAGGTTCCTTTAGACAAGCAGGTTTTCTTACGACAATATTAAGCAAGTGGCTATCATATCAGAAATGATGTTGATGAATGTCAGAGGTGCGAGACCCGGGATTTGAACCCGCTTCACTCGGTTTCCTAAGCGGGCGTATTACCACTGGACTTTTATAACCTTTAGATTACATTTCTACATGAAAGTTTTTAAAGATTATCCTTGCAATAATTATAGGATATAATATTAATTTATTGTATAATAATAAAAAAAAAAGTATGTTTAGATGTTATAAGTAATGTTTAGATGTTTATTCTAATTATATTGAATGTTAGTTATTGCTTATAAAAATAAATTGTCATTATCATATATTTTTTCTTTAAAGTATGTTAGTTATATTGTTGAGATTTCATGCAATTATAACCTTTATCCCACAGGGACAAAGTCCTGTTTCGTCCGAACGCGGCGGTACGCAACACTTTCTTCCTCATGAACATCAACAGTGTGCAAATGCACGAATTGTCGGCCAACACCGCAGCAGAATATGCCACGTGAGTTGTATTTTGTGCTCTATTTGTATGCCGATAAGGTTAATTTTTGTTGTGAAACATCTATAGGCGCGTCTTGACTATAGATGTAAAACAACTAATTTAACACGTTTTAAATAAAATGTTGCCGTTTTAACCCCAAATAAATCGTATTAAACGGTTGAAAATTCGCCTACAGAAATAAAAGAACTGTGTTTTACACTTCATTGTGGGCAATTTTGGTCACCTGACGTCATATTTCGTTTTAATTAGTTTATAGAAAATTAATAGAAAGTACCTACATTACCTACTACACGAAAACTTAAGTATCAGCTAAGTATATCACACATATAAAAATCTTTACACAGTTTATAGGTACTCCGTCATATAATTAACATTAAAAACTAATTTATACATATTATAAAAATGTAAGTGATCGCTGTCTGTACATGGAAGATATTTGAGAAAAACTACTGTTGGTGGTCTCCATTAACGCAATGGAGCTTAAAACCATGATAAATAGAATATTCCTACAATATTTTAAGATATGAATATCTAATAGGTAAATATGTATTTTACATATCGAAATACATAAATTAGATTTGCTTTGCATCGGCTGGCACCGACTTCGAAAATATCTGATTAGATATCTATTCTAAATGAAAACCCCGTTTAGTTATTTTTACATTTTAGTGCCTGGAAGTCGGTTATTTATTTATTATAATAATAATATGGCAGGTGGGTGAAGCACATCCAGGAGGCGCCGCTGGTGCGGCTGGCGGAGGCCAAGTCGCTGACGCCGGCGCACGCGCACGCGCGCTCCGCCGACGACACCGCCGGTACGTATAGCGGGGTGGTCTAACACACAACATCTCCCCGATACAATACACATAACATATAGTATATCTAAAAAAAATACAAGAAATAATAATTATTTACAAAACTGTACAACCAAGGATTTTAAAAAACAAACTTAAAGTAATCTAATAGTTTTCATTTTTTTTGTATTCACTTTGATACATTATCAATCGTAATTACCAACACTATTTTTTATTTCCTAGTGAAACTTTTCGCTTAATATTGTTTTGTTCAAGTGAAAACTTCTTTAGCCAAGTTGTATTATATAATAATTTTTAAACTTGGTATCAATATTATCATCAATAAACCTTACAGTTAAACCTGACACCTTTCAGGTTTCAGTTCTACCGTTTGTGATTCGAGCCTTTTCTCCCAGCTTATCGCCATCCACTGCTGGACGAAAGCTGTTACTGTTTGATATATAATTGATGTTGGTTGATGGTTTATATAGATTTTTTCTTTTAGAGTTATTTTTCAAAATTTTATCTTAAATTATATATAAACTTATAGTTTAATTTAGTTTTTTTTTAATGGAAAAAGGTTTAACTGTCAGTTGTGTCGAAGTCTAAGATAGGCCGCCGTGGCCTGCTATCTACCGAGGCTTTAGTTAAATATAACTTGAAATATTATATCAAAGAACTGTTGAACTCAACGATTTGCTATGGATTCTTTTTTCTAAATGAAACCTAATGTATTTAAAAAATCTTTCATTTAAAAAATTACATTATATTTTGCGTTTTTTTATTTAGCTGTAAATGTATCAAGAAATCCATCGGACGCGTCAGAAAAGTCGACATCTAGCGCGCCTCCCGACACTTGCGAGAGGGAGAGAGCGTCCACGGAGCGAGAGGAGAATGAGAAGGAGCGGGAGATGGAGAAGGAGAGAGAAATAGAGAAGGAGAAAGAGGAAAGGGGGGAGAGAGCGGCATCGGGGGAGAAGGAGAGTGAAGAAGATAGCATGAAGCATAAGTAAACGATATTTTATTTATTAGTGTTTATTTACGATACAATTATTATTTTATAGTAGTAGTATATACTTTTTTATATTTTTGTTGTAAAGTAATGGTCAAATTGTATTTTATTAAAGGCAATGTTTTTTTTACTTATTCGTTTTTAAGAATATAGTTTGAATAATGTCTTATTGTGATTTGTTTAAAGCGATATATGGGTACAAAGTAGTATACTTCCATTCAGTAAACATAGTAATATGTAGAATATTTATTTATTAGCACACTACACGTCTTTGTCAGTATACGTATTGAAGGTCGATGAATTAAACCTAATAAATAAGGGAAACCGAGGACTCCAAATCGAATTTCGGTTATAATTGATATCAAATCAAAATATATTGTATGCACATATTTGACAAGCACTTGTGCCCCGCAGGCCGCAGCAGCCGGCGGTGGGGCGCGTGTGCACGCACGCGGGCGCGGCGCCGGCGCCGGCCGCGCGCGCCGTGTGCCTGCGCGCCGCGCCCGTGCACACCGCCGTGCGCGCCTTCTCGCACCAGGGTACTCTCTCACCCTACATGCACTCACACATACGCTGTCTCACTCACATCGCATGTTCTCACTCTGTCTCACATACTCTCTCCCTCGTACTTAAACACCGTCTCTCACCACCTGTAGTTGTAGTATGCGTGTAAGCCTCCCCGGTACCTATATGTTGTACAACCTGCTACGAGTATTATTAGAGTAATAAACGAACTTTGGGACCAAACAGTTGTCTCATTTTTTCCCACATTACACCTCTCTCTCTCTCTCTCTCTCTTTGACACACTCAGCCTCTCACATGTTCTCATTCTCTCTCACACACACACACTAACCCACGCGCATACTCTTTACAAACTTTCCCTCGATCATTCCTTTGCACATGTTACAGACTGCATGCATTATTTTGTTTTTTCGTCGTACATAATTTACTTTGATTTCACTTACACTGTGTATATTTAAGTTATATATAAGAAAAATATGTCCAATAATTGCCATAAAAAATAAATAAAGTGAACAATACTTTAAATAACCTTCGTTATACTAAGTATAAATATGAAAAATGAATATTCGTTCGTATTTTGAAAATCCCATTTCTTTGCACCAAATATGTATTCTAAAAATGTCTTTAACACACAACATCTCCCCGATACAATACACATAACATATAGTATATCTATAAAAATACAAGAAATAACAATAATTATTTACAAAACTGTACAATCAAGAATTTTAAAAAACAATCTTAAAGTAATCCAGTAATTTTAATTTTTTTAGTATTTATTTTATATACATTATTAATCGTAATTATCGACACTGATTTTTTTATTACATAGTGAACCTTTTTACTTAAAATTGTTTAATTCTATTAATTTTTGAGTAAATTTAAGTATATATTACCTATGCGATACGGTTTGTTTCTCTACAAATAAATAATGAAATATACAAACGACGACACGTTTGGCTCAGTTTGTAGTAATCCTACTCGCTGAGTCAGTGGTCGCGGGTTCGAGTCCCGCTGGGGACATTCATTTGTGTGATGAGCACGAATGTTTGTACTCCATTCATGGGTGTTTATATTTATAATATGTATGCATTTAAAGTTATATATGTATATTGTATCAATTATCTATTATCCATAACACAAGCCTTGTAGCTTACCATGGAACTAGATGGTGCAGTGTTAATGTTCCAACATATTTATTTATTGTTATAAACATTTGCAGAGCGTCTCCGTCGCCTGGACGAAGCGATATCGCGCGCGCTCAAGGCGAAGAGCGCGGTGGTCGCGGAGCTGCTGGGCGTGCCGCCGCACGCGTACGCGCACCTCGCCGAGCTGGCCGTGGCCGAGACGCTGGGGCATGTCGGTCAGTCTTATTTGTATTCGCGTAGGGTTCAATTTGCTTTGTGGCTCATGAGCTGGATATTAAGAGTAAGGGTAGGTAGTATTGGATTTTGGACTGAATTTGTGTGAGCGAAATGTTCAATTTAGTGCACCTTGCCGAGCCTAGGCTTATTTGTATGGAGATGGTGTTCAATTTGCTTTACGATGTATAGGATGAATGATGAGTTTTGGGTGACACGCGTGTCAGTCTTATTTATATGGGAATATGGTTCAATTTACTTTGTGGCTCATGGTATGAATGTTGGGAGGGTTGGTAGTTGGTATTGGGGTTTGAACTCTATTTATGTTTAGGGAAGGTTCAATTTAGAGCTTCCGTTGGCGTAGATATGCTGGAAATATTGGGTTTTGAGCTTTGTTTATATAGGGGTAAAGTTTGAGCTTCCATTTGAACTGCTATTGGTACCATTACGAAACTAGTGGATGACTGAATTTAAAGACTGTATGACGTCATTAAATTAAAAGATAAGATTTCATTAAATTTCGTTCATTAAAATTCAAAAACAATCCGAAAGTGTTAAAATTAGTTAGAAATTTATACAAAATTTTAGAATCCATTTTATTTTATTTTCTTTGACCGTACTAGAGATTTTTTTTAAGAATATATTTCGATTCACTCTTGACATCATTTTTTTATTCAATTTCCCTAGACATTTGCGGTGAGCTGAACGCGCCGCGCGAGAGCGAGCCCGCGCCCGACGTGCACCAGCTGCTGCTCGCGGCGCAGGCGCAAGGTACTTTGTTATTTATTTTCAATGAAATTATTTTTTTCGATAATATTTTCTTAGATTTACGCGAATATTTGATATTTTAAATAAAACTAATATAATTAGTAGAAATATGTCGTTATTAACATATAAAATACGTTTTAAATAAAACTATCTTTTCGGATTTTTTCGCGGATTTATTTTGATTTTTGGTTCCCGACGTTTCGAATGCTTCACAGCAATCATGGTCACGGGAGAGACTGAGACGTCTCAAAGGCATTATATACTCGTTACAGACAAGAGCCTGGGAAAAAGGGGGTGAAACTTTGTATAGGGAATCAATGAAGTCATGGATATAAAATTCATGACACCTATATACACACATAGATAGACTATATAGTGTATGTATCCCAGTATTCCATACTAACCGTGACGTATGTGTATATCGTGTTGCAGCCAACCAGCTGACGGAGACGCTGAGCGCGGCGCTGGCGCTGCCGGAGGCGGGCGTGGCGGCGGCGCGCGCCGGCCGCTGCGACGCCTGCCGCCGCCGCGCCGCGACCGGTATGCCCCCACGCCCCCACGCCCCCACACTCACACAGTGGTAGCTCAGTGGTGACGCGCTCGCTTGGGAAACCGAGTGAAGCGGGTTCGAATCCCAGCTCTCGCACCTCTCATATTTTCATGTGCGAATCGTTTCCAACACGATACCCACTCGTCTTACGGTGAAGGAAAACATCGTGAGGAAACCTATATGTCTGAGAATACCTAGCGAGTTTTCGAAAGACATATGAAGCCCGCCGACCCGCACTCTGCCAGCGTGGTGGACTAGGGCCTGATCTCCCTTGTATTGAACGGAGGCCCAGCAGTGGGACATAAAAAAGGGCATGGCGATATTACACTAACACTATATCACACTAACATTACATCAATACTTTTATTACTAATATTGCATTAATAGTACACTAATACTCCTTTTTTAACGTTACGCATTTGATATGCATTTGTATTTTATTTTAGATCTCTACATTAAAGCTAAAGCGCTGTCTATCCTCACAGTTCTTTAAAATCGTGTTTGTTTTTAGTTCCTGTAAATATTGTTAACATTTTTTTTCTTCAAAAGTAAAAGTTTCTAGTCGGCTCTTTTCAGTGAGATTCTTTTCCGATCCGGTGGTAGTTTCTTTGCAATTTAAAATTTGAAAAGTAAAAATGACTATTATTCCAAAGTAATAGTTAAAGTCTATTTAAATAAATTATATGTGTCTATATATAGATTACATAAATTATCTATCGCCAAATTTAAAAGAATTGTTATAGGACGTTTGTGTGCTAAAGGCTATTATACAATAAATGATTTTATAGAAGATGACACGTCTTGGGAATGAAGTGATCGCCTCCTGGTCTTTTCCGCCATTTCAATTTTATAGAAATATTGTAATTTATAATTTAACTTTATAAAAACAGATAATGAAATAATACTAGCCCCGTTGAGTTTCTTTCGCCAGTTTTTCTCAGGTCTGAAGCTTCTTCTTTCCGAATTGGTAGTAGACTCGTGACGTTCAGTAAAAAATTGTAATAATTTAATGCCGAATAATATAATTTTAATTTGAATATATCGATTCGATGTATAAGTTATCGTGACATTATAATTATGTGCTTTAGACGCGGAGGCCACGGACAAGACGCCGGAGCTGTGCGCGGAGACGCAGCTGTTGGAGAGCAGCGTGCTGAGCGCGCTGGCGCCCGCCGCCGACACGCCCGCGCCCGCGCCCGCGCCCGCGCCCGCGCCCGCGCCCGCGCCCGCGCCCGCGCCCGCGCCCGCGCCCGCGCCCGCGCCCGCGCCCGCGCCCGCGCCCGCGCCCGCGCCCGACCGCAACGGCGCGGCGCCGGAGCCCGCTCTTGGTGAGACGCTCGTCAATGTATTATCCATAGCTATATAATACTAGCGACTATCGTCCCCAGCTTGCTTCCCCATACAAACTTTCATACCCAATCTCCCTTAGCCACCCATAAGGGATAATTTCAGGGATAAAAACTATTATACTCACTCACTTTTCATATCATAAGATTAAAAAAAAAATCTTATTTTAATATAAAAAGTTTTTTTTTAATTTTCTTCTATACAAAACTTCCTAACAACAACAAACACAAAAAAGAAAGAATTATCCAATTTGGTGCAGTCGATCCGTAGTTATGCGCGTACATACATTTCGGTGATTCATTTTTATTTATATAGATTACTAGTTACGTTTTAACGATTAGTAGAGATTTCTTAGAGATGAGATATTTTCCCGCAGTATAAAGTATCCCATATGTTGACCCGGATAACCAGCTATCATAATATCAAATTTCATCAAAAACTGTCCAGTAATTTTCTTGTGATGCGTCCTCAGACAGACAGACAAAAATTGTAAAAACTATAGATTCGCCCTCTGTACTTATAACAATGGCTATTTCAATAAGTTTTTCCAGAAAAAAAACTTTATGCGCAAATTCGACTCGATTAGAATTTTATTTATTATAATATGTAAAGCTAAATGTGAGTGTGTTTGTTTGTTTATTTGTCCTTCTTTCGCGTGGAAACAGAGTGAGAGATCGGCGTGACATATTATGTGTGTGTAACAACAACTTGTATCTGTCCACAGGTTCCTATTCGGGGTCGGGGGCGGGCGCCGCGTCGGCCGCGTCGCTGGCCGCGCGGCTGGCGGCGCCGCTGTGCGGGCTGCAGGCGGCGCTGGCCGCGCTGCTGGCCGCGCACTCGCCGCCGCCGGCCGCGCCGCCGGCCGTGCGCGCCGAGCTGGCGGCCGCGCGCGACCGCGCCGACGCGCTGCGGCGGATGCTGTGCGACGCGCGGGCCGGGGGGGCAGGTCGGTGCTCTTTGTGCTATTTATTTAAGTAAAACTTCTTTACGCACGCTTGATTTAGGGGGTAAGGTGGTGCCCCCACAAACGTGCGTTCACCTTGCCGTGGTGGGTGCTCAGTAGCGCCCGGCAATACAGCCGGGCGCGAAGCCAAGAAACGAGGTGACCCGCTTCGGTGGACGGTGGGAGGCGGCCCTCTTCGGAGGGCGATGTACTATGCGGGTTGCTCCTGATACTTCTCTGATAGCAGAGTGGACCTTGGAGCAACCCCATGGTTGTGGTGGTCTGCTTCGGTAGACCTGCCGTCGGGGCGTCGTAGTTGAATGCGTAAGCGATCCTGCGATGCCCCATTAAGACGGGGGAAGGTTTTGTTGGGTTTTAGTGGGTAGTACTGACTTCACCGGTGAGTCCCACACTTGGTGCGTAAATGCATTTCCCAACGTTAAAAAAAAAGGGAGTAAGGTGCTGAAGGCGTTACGAAAACATGTACGTACGTTTGTTACTATGGTAACCATTGTTATTGTCTGACAAATGGTTTATAATATCATTTTATTTCCTTAAATGATAAATATACGATTTTAATATGTCTAATATGTGTCATTTTTAGTATCTCACCTATCCTAATTGTTTAAACATAAATTGAATTTCATAAAGAGTACCGATAACCTACAGAAGTTTTACTTCTAGCGCATGTACACATCCATACACGCTCTTTTTTTTGTAACCTCTTTTTTTAAATAAAAACAAAATGTCGGTCAGTGTCGTGGGACAGGGGTAGGAACTGTCCTCTCTTAGATCATACATTAGCTCATACACATGATCCCGAGTACCAGGGCAGCATAGACATCGAGCAACGTACTGCGTACATGTTGAAGCTCGTCGAAAAGAAGCCTGCACAGAGTGTACACGAATCTCTTACTACATGCACTCCTCGACAGTTATGATCGCCTGGTACTTTTGTCAAGAGTACTAAGGGACCACGGGCATCTAGGAGTGCTCACTATGTAATATGTAGGGCTCCGTCAAAGAGTGCATAGTCCTACCACCTCCTTAACACTTATTCTCGCCTGTTACTTGTGAAGACGTCACACAGAATGCTTTTAGTGAATAGTTAAAAATGTCGTGACAGTTGAAATATTTACACCTTGTTCACTACCAAAAAAAAAAAAAAATAAAGAAAAATATTCGTATATTAGTTTTAAGAGCACACAACCTCTACGGATGTCTCAGAATATTTAGACATGTACAGAAAATACTTTATTTCAATAAAAAAAACAAATAAAGAATCGAAATTACCCCAATACGATATACCTCGGAACTATTTAAATAAATCGACAATGTTTTATTAAGTGGTAACATTTAGTTTTATTTTAGTTTTTTTTTTTAGTTTTTTTAGTTTTTTTTTTTAATTCAAAATTTTTATATAATATGTATCATCTTATCTTGGTGGTAAGCTTTTGTTTATGTGTTGTGAATCTGTGGAAACTTGGTTGGTTTTTAGCATTACTTTTATATGTTTTAGAATGTAATTACTTATTGTACTGTTTGTTTCCCTTGAAAAGCTAATAAATAAATAAAATAAATAAAATATTACATACAAGTTGATTTTTTGAATCGAGCATTATATATTTTTTTAATAAATCTCGAGTCCATTTAATTTTGTTTTGTATTGTTGAATTAAATCATTTCATTTATTTCACATTCCAGATTACCAAATGACGGAGGAGATTTTCCAAAAAGGAGTTGACCAATCGATACAGGTATGTTTAATTTTGCAATATGCAAATAGTATAGAATTAAATTTGCAAATTTTAATAATATTTAACTATGTGTATATAGAAAAGTAACTATATAGAAAGTCCTACCCCGACTCGGTCCAGGGCTCTGTCATACTAATTAATCTCAAATTACCGTATGCTAATGATACTTTGACCAAAAACTGCTCTAAATGAATAAACAGATAATGTTTGTATAAATGGCACGCCTTGGAAATCATGTGATAGCTTCCAGGCTTCTTCAATTGTAGTAATTTATTATTTTAGCCAAAAAAAGGTAAAAAAAGATGTTGGTCCCTCTCAGTGTCTTTCGCTAGATCTTCTCAGGTCTGAGGCTTCTTTCCGAACTAGTGCCAGATTTATGACGTTCAGTAAAAAATGTAATAATTAAACGTCGACTAAAATATTTTCGTATCGAATTTTGATTTTTTTATACATTTGTATTTACATATCACATAGATAGCACGACTTAACTGCCTCGGTGGTGTAGTGGCTAGCATGTACGGCTGCACACTCGGAGGTCCTGGGTTCGAGTCCCGGGTCGGGCCAAGTTTAGTTATTCAGTCTTTCTGTACATTAAGCCTCAGTAACAGCCCGGAGTTGGGAAGTTAGCAGTGTCTCACCCCCGAGCCTCGGAGAGCACGTGTCGCGTCTGTCCTGCGCCGACACTCTCACCGCGAGTGTCTCGTGTCGTCCCACCGGAGTATGAGAGTGACAGGAATAGAGAGTGCACGTTGTGTCTGCTCTCTCCCTCACACGCGCTGCACTATAATATAGTCTCCATGAGATTGGCCGCCGTGGCCAGAGTCGGCCAACATCAACATCGTAGAACATCATCAGATAGCACGAAAAATAGACATTAATTTTGAGCGCTTTTTGTAGTTATATTATTATATACACAGACAAATTCACCTTTTATCCAATTTTAAGTAACAGTGGCCTATCTATGTGTTACTCCAAGTCCTAGTCTATTTATATACTAAGTTTCATTCAAATCCGTCCAGGAGTAACAAACACACACACGTACAAACTTTCGCATTTATAATAATTTATTAACTTGAATTTTGTTTTTTTCCAGGAACATCCGAGCAACGGGGGTTGATCCCAATGTCTTATATCAAGCTAGACGTAAGTTAGTCGACGACGTAGACAACATGACATTCTACAATCGCTATCGATAATAGAAAACTAAAAAAAATATGCTATTGCCATATCTAAGTTTTAAGTCACGTGATCACAATGTGACAATACTTATGACAAAATCAAAACTTTTAAAATCAAAATATTTATTTCTATAAAGAACTATTGAATCATTTTTATTTAAAGAGCTTGAAATGCAGTTTTTCTGAGAAATTGCTCTTTTAAAACAAATTGTAGCATTTTAAGTACGTAATTGATTTTTGTCTGATGCCTTTCCTTATTGCTAACCGATTTTGACGATTTACGATATGAATCTTTTTAGTTATAAATCATTTCTGTATCTATTAGCGATGTCGATTGTAGAAAACCAATCTGTCTAAGTGACTGGGTCTAAGTTGCATCGCTTTGTTATTTAATAAGTTGTTACCTTTCTAAGTAGTATTAATTCTTTTTGTTTCTTTTAACGCATATTCCATTTAAGTGTTTTTGTATAGAAAATATATTCTCGTACATATAATGTGTTTGTAAATAATGTCTGTACGTCTACTGTATGGTGTTTGTATTTTAATAAATAGAGCCTTATTAGTTCGACAATATTTATACATATAATATGAAAATGTTTTTTTTTTGTTTAAATATTAAATAAAAAATAATAATAAAATAAACACAAAAGCGTAACGTTTGTTAAAGATTTTTGAAACGATTTTTGAGATTATTAATAAAGAATTTCTCAATTTTTTGATTCATTGTTGAATGTCTTATACAAATGAGCGCGAGCGTGGCAGAGATTTATATATGTACAAACAGACACATACATAGGTTAATATGTATATGTAGAAGTGCCCGAAGTAACCTAGACCTTGTTGTAGTAATGTTGATGCCATATTCATAATTAGATCGTTTATTCGCTTAATTTATACAGAAAAAGGTTAAGCAACACTCGCTGTTGCCGACTTTTGGATTACAGTACGATACGAGTATAACAGCAATGCGTATGTATATATTAGATACATGTACCTTATAACGTGTAATGTAGAATTAGATAATTGGTATTCTATATTATATTATAAATGTTTTTTTTAATGCAATCCTTTCATTTAAACGAAATCGTGACGTTTCGATGGTTTTTGGTATCGTATATAATTTTCAAGGAATACATGTTGTAAAAAGATCTCTTTGACTGTTATAATGGCTCTATCTAGGTAGTGAAATGGTTTAACTTTCAATACGATATGTTTATATTGAATTTCCAATGTTAAAAGCTAGATATCAATAAGTTTCTAATGTTCATACATATTATGTGTCCCTCAGTCTAGTTTAGACAAACAGTCTGACAAAATTTTTATATATTTATATCATGTTACGGAGAGTGTACAAAAAATTCTTCATTTTTTCGCATTTTACATAGAGATAAGCTAGAGAGTAGTTATTTAATCTTGTGCCAGACCTCTACATAAAACCTTAAACGTTTTTTTTGCTTCAGATGGTCTTAGTTTATCTTTTAATTGGCAAAAACAAACGTATCCAGAGGGCTTAGCGAAGTTGATGGTCTACAATCGTTAGCGATAATAGAAAACTAAATGTCGGTCAAGTGCGAGTCGTAATTCAAGTGCGAGGTTTAATTAATTCGATTAAATTATTTGGAATTCGTGATCACAGTAAAACATACTCTCGGTTAGTTTTATTATGTCGCTTGTATTTTAAAGCTATTGTTACAGTTATACCAAGTTTTATGTTTTTTGTAGACATAAAAAACAAAAAGAAAAAAAACGTGCTTTCTTGATGATGGTGTGGTGAATATGTTATCTGGAAAATAGCCCCTTATTTTTTTATTTAGTTTTTTTCGATCGTTTGGATGTTTGCCTGTTACTTACTAAATGTATAGCTATTCAATGTCAAGACTGACAGACAAATAAACATACTGATATTTTCGATATTCTTTTTTAATGACAACCTTCGTTAAAAAGAAAATTCCACTCCATATGGTGGAATATTTATATTCAAAGAGATTTCAAAATCGGTGTTAAGTACACCGATCTTGTTAGAGACGACTTCTTGTTATTCTATTAGCAATATCGATTGTAGAAAATTACTTTGTCTAAAGGGACAGGGCGTTTACTGTTTCATACGTAGTCGTCTTCATATTGAGACGACTCACGCTATGAGATATCATTTCTATCCTACTAATAATAAGGTTTCGTTTTAATAAATCAAAATTTAATACTTATTTAACCGATTTTAAACAAAATTTAATAATTTATTTATTTTAACTTTTCATTTTTTTATGTAATAATTTATTTTATTTAAAAGTTGATAGGATGTGATATCAATTTGATCAGTATGTTAGTGTGGTTTTAGCTTAACATTTCTCTCGCGAAGAAAATAGAGAAAATAAAGTTATTACACTCTCCGTTTTTATGATATAATGGGTTAAAATATAGCTTCCAATATCATATTTTTTCTTAAAAAAGCCTTGTCGTTTGATTTTTTTTAGAACTTACCATTTATATAAGTTCTAAAAATCATATTAAATCATATATTGATGTTAATAATGATAATAGAAATCAAAAAGCCAAAGTACTTTTAATAGTAAAATAATAAGTGTCTTAATGCTTAGAAAGAGCCATTACATAATATTGTTAAAAATAAAAGTGCCGGAGGCATCCCTTTCTTATATTTTTACCACAGTACATAAGGGACATAACCTTAGTTTATGGAATTAGAATGGTTTTTTTATATAAAAAATAAAACATGTATGTGAATTCAATATTACCAATGTAGCACTCACGCTTTGTCAACCATTGACAACCATTCTTATTATATAACCCTAACAAATTGGCAACCTTATTTATATAAAGCTAAGGGCTCTTTTTACAATTGTTCCCCCGATAGTAAATTATCGAATTGATTATTAAATTAATTGATAAAATCTCCATTGAATTGCATCAACCAATTAACCAATTAAATTATATATATATATATATATATATATATATATATATATATGTAGTAGTTATTAAATAGTTAAACTATTTAATTAAGCAAAAGGACCTCTAAATTTGTAAAATATATTTTGTATCTGTAGGCGATAGAACCAAATAACTCCTTCCCGTTTTCTAAACTCGGGACTTTTTGATATTTACCTCGAATTCGTAACCAAATCAATACTAAATTATATTTTATAATCGATTTATATATAACAAGTGTGGGGTATGAAGATTTAAATCGTATGGTTGATAAGAATCATAAATCAAATCATTGTTAAATTCATCAAATTCAATAGCTTGTAGTGGTTTAATTGCATTTTTTCTATTATGTGTATAAAAAATTATAATATATAGATAAATTTTGGCACATTTTTTTTGTAATATATATTTTATAAGAATTTTCAATTTTTGTCTACGTGTTATTAAATCGTAAAACAAAGTAAAAGGTATATTATGTATGTAGATATATATAAGAAATTTGGTTTTCTGAACGTTTGTACGTCTTCATACCCCCAATACAAATATTATTACTGGATGTTTCCTTCGCTTATGACAAAATTGTAACACGTAGAAATAAAATAAATACCGTTATAAATATACAGATTTGTTTTATTTTACCAATTATATATCAATGATTTGGTTTCTGGCAGCTTCAAAAAGGGAAAATTCTTTTTTTTAAATGTTAAATGTTACACCTCGAAAGTGGTGAAAAAATAACACTCTTGATGGTAGAAAAATATTATAATAATATATAGATAAAATTAGAGTCTGTGTGTGGTCCTGAAATACTTTCTTTATAATAACCTCATGTTGGTTTTTTATTCGTTAGCCAAGTCCAAACAGATATTATTATTTTTTGTCTGTTTGTTTGTACTCGCTTGTCTTCAAATGGCTGAACTGACTTGAATGAGACTTTCACGAGAGAAATAAACTTTCGAGAAAGAGAAAAGGTTCCTATAGCATAATGGTTGGAAGAAAAATGGTTTGGTCAGCAACAGGACATATGGAGAAGCTGATTTGATTGAAAGTTACATCTGAGGCTACTTTTTATATATTCTTAATTATAAATTAACTTTGTATATAAACAAATAGATCCCGATGTGGTTAAAATTGGTCTTATTTCTAGATGAGATTTCTTCCAGCCAACCTACAAAAGTGAGCGTTTTCATCCTAGTAAAAGAAACACTTTTATCTTCCAAGGGATAAAGGATAGAGATTTTTAGACACGAGATAAAGTATTAAAGGAAACAATAATAGAATATATTATTTCATAAGTACAAACGAATTAACAGTAGGTATTTTTATTATATATAGTGTTCCAGTAATGCCATATAAATAGCTACGGCAGCGAGGAAAGGAGATAAAGTCGCGGCGCTCGCACTAGCTTCAACTCTAGCCATCCAACTGTTCATCTGTAAGAGAATATCCCTCTTCGTTGCCTCTAGCTGTTCCGTTTCACTTTGGCCGCTTGGTCTAAAATAAAATATGGCGGTTTATGTTGATTTGACTTACAAAACATGTTTTTTTACTAATACTATAAATATGAATGTGTTTGTTTGTTTGTCAGCTGGTTTTTATTAGACACAACCCAAATACTCACCCAATTCATGGAATTATTTTGGGTATCGTTGTCATGGGTATCAGAGATAATATTTAATGCTATTATATACAGTGACTAAATACAAAGTCGAAATATAATTTAATTTACCTTCCTGCCCAAACTCATTGAATTGGTATTTTTTAAAATTCATATTCATATGTTTAATTTATGCGTATAGTCCACAGGGAAGCTTCTACTGATCTAGAATCTAGTTTTGCTAATAAGATTTAGTTTAAATTCTACTGTGTCACTTTTAATTTAAAGTTCAATTCAAAAAACCATCTTGCACCAGAACAAAACTTACCTAACTGCCCTACAATGCGAAACCCCATTAACAACAAACACAGGCGCCAACGCATGTGCATGTGAAGTGTTAGGTCCCATGGGTGACCAGGGGTCCAGACCTCCCACTGCAGAGACCACGTGGTCTGGTAAATGGTTCAGACCAGCGAACAGATTGTTAGTACGCGCTATTCCTGCACGGAGTCGAGATTCGTTGAAACTGGAAGAGATATTTGGAAAATCAGTAGATAAATAGACAAATAATAGAAGGTAAGTATAATTAATGCCATTTTGGAGTTACGAGGGAACAGGATCGTTTTGTGTACATTACATACATACAATTCAAACACATAACCCTACTTTGGGCTTCGCCTCAGATAATCTTAGGGTGAAGGAATGTATGTAGACAGTTTAGTCTAATTCTGCGTTTGTTGGTTGGAATGTCCGTATTTTATGTGGGACGATAAAGTAGATGTTCCTTTATTATCCTATTTTAGCGCAATACCTACAATTCAAGTAAGAAAGGTTTTAAATATTTTTACGTTTTTATGGTATATATTTTCTGTATGTCTGTACCTGAAGATACTGCGAATGTACATTTTAGTGTTAGATAACTATTAATATGTCTATTTCAATTTAATAATACAATTAGTCGTATAAAACGGAACACTCACTCAATACCAAAAAAGTCCTTACACATCTGGTGGAAGTACTCCAAAGGCACAGAGTTGAGGAAAGGCTGCCTGCTGCTGGAGGTGGTCTGGTACCAGCCGTACTCGACACACGTTTGATACGTCCAGAGACGCACTGGAAGTTAAAACAAATATTACAAACTATCGATTAGTACTCGCTTCGCTCAGATACGTCCCTGTGCTTAACCTACGTACAAAATAGCCTATGTGTTTATTTGTATACTAAGCTTCCAAAACCGTCCATTCGGTTCAGCGTAAAGGAGAAATGATACATACACATATACAAACTTTTGTTTTTGTGTGTTAAAAAACGAACTACTTGATATTTTACATACATAATTATAAGTAATTAGTAGTTTATTTAAAAAATCTCGTTAAGATTTTTTGGTTAGTGCTTTTCAAGAATACGGTATTGTCCTTCTTTCTTATTTTAATATTAATTTTATTTTGATTAAAAAAATAATTTTAATGTAAATATTACTGGAAAGTATCATTAATCATAGTAATTTATTCCGGTAAGTCAGTTGAGTCCCGAGAGAGTATAAGACAGACCTTTTTATATAACACTAACAGTTCCCGCGGCTTCGCCCGCGTTCGAACTTCCGATCGCTACCGAGCTTCACAGGATCACCGGGCAAATCTTAAGATTCCTTGAAAATTTCATCAAAATCGCTCCAGCGGTTTTGGAGTCCATAGGGAATACACATACACATCGATTTTAATATACATAATATATAGATAGATTTTTCCTTAACATGGAGTACGTGCAAAATAACATTCCTACAGGTCTAGAAACTAGCAAAAAACCTAGGTGTAAAGAAAACAGCTGAGGTTATCCATGAATGAATGATTCAATTTCAGTTTTTCCTTCTAACGCTAGTTATTGTGTATTTCATCATTCTTTTTATTACACGTGTTTTGAAGAAGGCGAGTAAATCGTTTACCTTATTATGTACCTACAATCCTGCCCACATCTAGTGTAGGACGTGGGTAATAGGTAGTATATATGACGTCAACCTTTAATTTATATACTGATAGTATAATTGTAGAGGGGAAGTCGCCTATATTGTCGATGTAGACCACATAACTCTTAAATAGAAAATAAAAAATACCAACATACTAATTACTAAGAAATGTATTATTTGAGGTCATTTCAATGAGCCTAAACACGATGTGTTTGCAGTGTTTTAGTAAAGAGTTAAGTATCTTGCATCTTCCAGGTGACACTGCAGCAGTAGGCCAAGGTTTACTATGTCGTTGCAACACCATTAAATAACGCGCTTGCTTGGAAAACCGAGTGAAGCGGGTTCAAATCCCAGGTCTCGCACCTCTGGTATTTTCATGTGCGAATCATTTCCAATATGATTACCACTTGTCTTACGGTGAAGGAAAACATCGTGAGGAAACCTGCATGTCTCATGTCTGGGAGAACCTTGCAAGTTCTCGTAAGACATGTGAAGCCCTTAGACGGCTTAGACTGAATACATACATACATACATACATACATACATACATACATACATACATACACACACACATACATACATACATACATATATACATACATACATACATACATACATAATAAGTAGATTTAATTTTATTCAATCTATTCTTTAAAGGAAGATTTTTAAAAGCTTGGAACTTTAATGTCCTTATCCATAATAATAGTCATAGTTTATAAAAAAAAACTAGAGTTAAATTGAGAAAACTCATACTTTTTTTGAAGTCGTAAGAAAGAAAAAGAAAAGGAAAATAATAATTAGAATTGTTGGTGACATGAATTGATTGAAGTTATACGACATAATTAAATTTAACATAATTAATTTAAAACAAAATATAATTTAAATCTATACATATAATAAAATTGTAACTAAGTCGAATCTGTACATAAAATATTTTTTGGAAAATTTAATTGAAATAGACATTATTATCGATACAGAGTCCGAATCTCTAGTTTTTAGAATTTTTGTCTGTCTGTCTATTACTGCATCACGAGAAAACTACTGGACAGATTTTGATGAAAAAATGAAAATTTTCTCATTTCTGAGAAAAAATACAAAAACTGCATTGTAAGAGTATACTAATATGTAAAACCTAAGATTTTGGTTTTTGGTCATCTGAACGCGGGCGGAGCCGCGGGCAATGCTAGTGTTTAATAAATTCATAATTTTTAAGTTGTTAACAAAAAGGTGAGTGTCAGAAATTACATTATTTTTGTTGTATAAGGTAGGCTATACCTAATTCAAGAGTGTATTATACATCTATATATAAATAAAAATAAATGTGTCTTTGGTATGCTAGTCCTGTAAGCATTCTTAAACCATTTATCCCTAGACACGTATCTGAGCGAAGTAAGGGTTGCTGTTAGTATATTATAAATACGCTACAATTAAAAACGAATCTATCCCTCAGGAACCGTATATTTTTCCGGGATAAAAAGTAGCCTATGTGTTTCCAAACTATAATCTATCCCTGTGCCAAATTTCATTTAGATCCGTTCAGTCGTTCTGGCGTGAAAGAGTAACAAACATCCATACATACTCAAAACTTTCACATTTATAATATTAAAATACGGATTAACAATGTATGTATATAATTAAATACACATGAATTATTAGTACAAATAAATAACCGAAAGGCAAGCCAAAGCCCACTCCCAAGCTAGTATATCCGTACACAATAATACTGTGAAGTGGGCAAATATTATTTCTCAAACCCCGACTATTCGAATGCAAATTTTCCCGAATTTCTAGTAGGTACTTAGTGCTTGAGAGCTTTTGAACAACATATGTATAGCGATCTTAGCGTTATTAATTATGTCATTTGCATATTGACAACTAGTCTTTACCCGCGGTTGTGTTTGTTTTTATTTTTTTTTTTCTAATAATTTAATAGTTACAGGGGTACAATATAAGGTTATATAAGAACATTACTTCTTTTCAAGATAAATTATTTGTTACATTTTAAGGAAGTGACATTAATAATTGTGTAGGCAAATAGGATAAGTCTTATATATTGTGTGACTGTCTGTCTGTTAAGGTGATAAATTTGTGAGGAGAATTTTGATTGGTGTTGGTACAAAGCTAATATTCAGCTTGAGGTTTTTACTTTTTTAATATTTACTTTTATAGATAATATAGGGAAACTAGCGAGTCACCCTTGCTAAGGGTTTGTCCCTAGACAAAACCATTCTATCCCACGGAAACCGTACATTTTTCCGGGATGATATATAGCCTATAGCCTTCCTCAATAAACGAGCTATCTAATACAAAAAAAAAATCAAATTGGATCAGTAGTTCCTGAGATTAGCGTGTTCAAACAAACTCTGCCTCTTTATAATATTAATATAGATAAGGCAACATAGTATATTTTATCACTATATTCTGTCAAACGCCCAGAAATACGTGCTCTATGATTTATGCATGATTCACATCACGCGGACGCGGTGCGCATTTCAAACGTTTGAAACCGAAAGTTGACTGTTATGGTAATTTATACTTTTTGCATATTTTCCTTGACCTATAAAACACCGTAAGGTTTTTAAGTCTAATTTTTAACTGTTTGGTTAAGAATTTAGGTAATGGACCTAGGGGCTTATCTCACTGAGATATCTGCGCCTGAGATATTAGGTACCTATATGACACGTGGCAGATTTATTTTTTTATCTTAGTTTATGCGTTTCACCCTAAAATCTAACAGCAATATTCTAGGCTGTTCTTTTGAAGTCAAACACTTTAAAAACTTTAATGCAAAAATAACATAAGCTCAATAATTAAAATTGGCTCGACCCGGGAGTCAAACCAAGGACCTCTGAATGTGAAGCAATTACTCTTCACTCTTCTATTACTAGTAAATATATGTATTTCATATTTATATAATAAAGTAGATCCCAAGAAATTGAATAACTTATTAACAAAACGAAGTGAGTTAATAGGTATTGGGACATTATTTATGCTTCTTCCTTAAAACACCTTTGCTTTGTCATTAAAGTTGTAGCAAATCATCGTTACTGTTTGCTTAAAAACAATAGTTAATTCTATGATGAAATATCTATATGTAAAATAATAAGCGACTTCTGTGTGTTTAGAAATATTGATGTCTGGAAACTATGATACATTTGTATGTATATTCGTGTAGCATTCGATTTATACACTATACTAGCGACTCACCCTCGCTCCGCTCGGGTCCGTCCCTACTTATGTTTTAACGTTTAGTAAAGATTTCTCAGAGATGAGATATTTTCCTGCAGTAAAAAGTATCCTATATGTTGACCCAGATAACCAGCTATCATCATATCAGATTTCATCAAAAACTGTCCAGTGGTTTTTCTGTGATGCGGTAACAGACAGACAGACGGACAAACATTCTAAAAACTATAGAATCGGCCTCTGTATCGACAATATTGTTTATTTCCATAAGATTTTCCAAAAAATATTTAATGTACAGATTCGGCTTAGTTACAATTTTATAATATGTATGGATTTGTGGTAGATAAGTTTATCCTTTATTTTTTGACCGACTTCATGAAGGTATTAATACGGCTGTAATTTGTGTGTGTGTGGCTGTAATTTGTGTACGATATCTTTGCTAATTATACTTTATTATTGTAAGGTTTCGCTATTTTAATGTATATAAAATAGTTATTAATTGATTATATTGAACATACTGATGACGCGAACGCGTCCATTATACCTTTATAAATCAGGCAGCTAAAAATCACGAGAATGGGCAGGCCGGAAAAAAAAAGAAATACAAATAAAAATAGAAAGACGAGAAAAACGCAACAAGGAGATTGATCGGCGGAGATTTGATATGGGTGGACATGCTTTCCATGATTTTTAACTGGAGCAAAGAAATAAGATATTGTAGAGAATAAGAGGTTTCCTAATAAATTGTATATGACAATGTAACTTTGGCGCCACTTGACTGATAGAGGTTATTCACACATATTTTATATAACTGCCTCGGTGGTGTAGTGGCTAGCATGTACGGCTGCACACTCGGAGGTCCTGGGCTCGAGTCCCGGGTCGGGCCAAGTTTAGTTATTGGTCTTTCTGTATAGTAAGTCTCAGTAACAGCCCGGAGTTGGGAAGTTGGCGGTGTTTCACCGCCGTGCCTCGGAGAGCACGTAAAGCCGTCGGTCCTGCGCCTTAACTCTCACTGGTCGTGTCGAGTGGTCGTCCCACCGGAGTATGAGAGTGAACGGAATAGAGAGTGCACTTGTGTCTGCGCGTACACTTGAGCACTATAATATCTCCTGCGCAGTCTCAATGAGATTGGCCGCCGTGGCCGGAATCGGTCAGGAGAACATTATAATTATTATTATATATACATATATTTGTTTCATCGAGGATATTTCCACTGTACAAGGACCAATCAATTGAACCGAATATTTGACATTTTAAATAAAACTATCTTTTTAAAATCCGAAAAGGTATTATTATTTAAAAATTGAACCGAAATTAAATATTTCATCACATTTGGTAGGCGGTTTAGTGCCGAAAAAGAAAATTACAAAATCTGGCCTCGATATGTGGCTGTGCCATTTATTACATTCGTCTCAAAATTTTCTGTTTTATATGTATACCTAAAAGTAAGGATCATGACCTTTTATTGGACATTTTGTCTTTTAGGAGGAAATACTCGTACTTCCTGTACTTGGCTGTTTAGTTTTTTGTGTAGCCATGCGATAGTTTTACGTATAATGAACTGATTGACATAATTCTTTTTTTTAATTGATTAATAGGTTATTTATTTATTTTTAATATTTATGCCTTAATGGTGGTCCCGTATAATAATAATGTTCTCTCGATTGATTTCGGCCACGCCGGCCAATCTTATTGAGACTATCCAACTGCGCAGGAGATATTATAGTGCAGCGCGTGTGAGTGAGAGCGCAGACACTACGTGCACTCTCTATTCCTGTCACTCTCATACTCCGGTGGGACGACTATTCGACACGACCAGTGAGAGTTAAGGCGCAGGAGCGACGGCTTTACGTGCGCTCCGAAGCACGAGGGTGAAACACCGCCAAATTCCCAACTCCGGGCTGTTACTGAGGCTTACTAAACAGAAAGAGCCAATAACTAAATTTGGTCCGACCCGGGACTCGAACCCAGGACCTCCAGATGTGCAGCCCCTTATAAATATTAAAATATTAAGGAAAACTCCACCCTTAACGCTAATTTAAAAGTCGATGTTAGTTAAAGAGTTATTAAACTTCTACTCACTAACGGCTCCAGGAGCGTCATAGCTAGTGTTGGTGTGAATGGCCACCTGCTCGGAGTACCGGGATTCGATGCAAGGCTGAGTCCATGTCTGATTGGTGATCCAGGTGGCAAGACGCTCCACTGAATTCGCTGAAAAATAAAATTGGAAATATAATACCTATCTTGACAAACATTCTCCTGTTCTTTGAATTTAGTTTATGATTTTATGTTGATACAAAATTATTATAAAAAACTTTCTTTATTTTCACTTATAGTTTTTGCAAAATTTCTGAATTTTCCGCGTAATTTTTACAATATATTTAGTAAACTTATGTGTGAATTAAGTAGTTTTCTCAAGTGATGACCAATGAAATGGATTTTATTTTTATTTATATAGATAAGGAACATAATATATTTTCGAGATAAATTTTAACAAACAAAAAATAACAATATAACATCATATATATATTATATTTCGTGTCACGGTGTTTGTGGTCGCACTCCTCCGGAACGGCTCGACCGATTTTAATGATTTTTTTTATATTTGGTAGGTATGAGAATAGGTAGTAAAGTATTATTCACCCTCCTACCCCCGCCCCCCATTTTTTAATCGCGATTTTAGTACAATATTATGTAAATAGATAGCTGTATAACATAAAGCCAAAGACTTTTTTTTCTAGATTGAACGCGGGCGAAGCTGCGGGTTTTGCTAGTACCTAATATAATAAATAATTATATAATGAATCAGTAAGTATATTATTATTGTTAATCAATAAATATTTTTTTACTATAACAATAAGATATTTCAACACATCGTGTATATCCTCGGTAGTATAGTGGTAAGTATCCCCGCCTGTCACGCGGGAGACCGGGGTTCGATTCCCCGCCGGGGAGATTTTTTCCTTTTTTATAATATAAACTAGTGTTCACCGAGTGGTCGAAATTCGGTCATAATAATTTTTTTTATTAAAGACACTAAAGCTTGTCGGTGGCTACAAAAGAAAAAAGGAAACGGTTGATACTGTTTGTCAGGAGATTTTTTTGTCTGTTTGTTAATAGTTTGTTCAGAATAATCTCTGAGACGGCTGGACTGATTTTGACGAGACTTTCACCGGCAGATAGCTGACAATGTAAGGAATAATTTAAGTTTTTATTTTAGAAGAAGAAAGAAAAGAATTAGAGTTCCGCGAAAAAATATTAAAACCCATAATATTGTTAACAAAATCCTGGTAAGTCGCTTGTATTTATAATACAAATAATTGTAATTTAGGGATTCTATCTCGCCGTTTTTTTAATAAGTCAAACACACCTAAGTATGTGAAATGAAATAAAGTTTATTCAATTAGAATTATTATAAGCACTTCTGAACCTTTAATTTTAAAGAGCATCAGTGTAGTCTGTCCGTGAGGAAGCTACCATCAGAAGCTGTGTACATAATTCGTTGGCTTAGTATTACAAGGTCCTATGTTAATTTTGATGAAGTTTAGTAATATTTACGTAGAACTTCGTTATTTTGTTATCGTAAAAAAAACAACATAGAACTATGTAAAATTGAATATTTTGTAGTTATAGTGCCGCTATCTAGTGGTTTGTTTTTGCAAAACTGTAGCTAATGACACATAGAACCTTGTAGCATTAATAACTGAATAAGTACTAAAATTGTAACATAGAACCTTGTAATAGTGAGCCAACGAATTATGTATATGTTAAAGCAATGATTAGGATTAATGTGCATTTTCAGAAGTAACGACTGTGATGCACTTTACTTAGCAATAACCGTAAAAGTTTAATTTAGCTCCTGGTTTGTGAATACTTTTTTATAGTAGACGCATAAAAACTCGTGTTTTCTTCACTAAGTGCCGCAATAGCCTATGTGTTACTTCAGGTCATGCTCTATATATGTACTAAATTTCATCCAAAAGTGATAAAGTAACAAACATACGTACAAACAAACTGTCGCATTTATATAAGTAGATATACAGACTGCTTCGACCGAAAATTGTATCGGTCGAAGTTTGTTGACTAACCTAGAAATTAATATAGATGTCGACATATTTGCTGTTTCTTTGGCCAAATTTTGGCCATTTGCACCAACATTGGTATAATTGTTAGATTAATGTAACTGTCTGTCTTTTCATAATAAAACAAGAATTAATTATTAAAAAAAATATTATTTACTTCTAAAATATATTTCGTATAATATTTTAAAAACTTTATTTCTGTGCATGCTGTGTTTATTTGTCACTCACTACATTTAGATCCTAGTTCTATTTTTTATATTTGTGTGTATTGTTGTAAGTGATTGTAAATAAACCTAATAAATAAATAAATAAGTTGTTATGTTATATTTCAACATACCGTTTAGAGTAGCATTTGAGATGGTCTGACACGCGCTAGCGATGTCCCCTGGCACTGCGTACTGCACTAAGTATGCGAAGGTCTCAGTAATGCCGTACCAGAAGAAAGTAGCGAGATCCAGAGGAGATGAGGCTTGAAGAGGGGAACATGTGCTGGAATATAATTAAAAAATAGTTATCGTAAATAAATCATGATAGTTATGTATTTACCTATGTTATTAATTTTGCAAAAACAATGTCCAAAATTTTTGAAATAGTCGTCGTTTATATAATGCCGCTTGTTTTTGATAAGACAAGATATATTTAATGTAGACAAGATTTAAAGAGAGCGAGAGAGCTACGAGGAATGTCGACTTTGGATATGAATCCCGACCCTTCCACGACAAGAATTAATAGCAAGTTATGAGTATGAGGGAAAGAAACTGAACATTTTTCAGAAAGAAATTCGTATTATAACAACCTTTTTAAATTTTCAACAGATTATAAAGGGTTACTGTAGTCGAATGATCAGTTGAATTTTGGAGTTAAGTAAAATATGAAGACGTAAAAAATTGAAAAAAAGTTGAGTGACGAGAGTACAAGTGAATTTAGTGGTGGCAAATAGGGCTTAGTGAGTAAGTAAGTTTAGTGAGTGAGGTAGTTTATCCTGTTTGTTAAGTTAATTTAACACGCGTAGTTAGGCCACAATCATAGCTTGTACAGTAATATTTGTTGAACGCTAAGATATTTCTAGTAACGTAAGTTTTTAAAGTGTTTGTTGAAAAGAAAGAAAAAGAAGTATGTAATAAATTAAAATATTTCATATCATTATAGTTAAAAATCGTACTCACTTAAACAACTGTGACACTCTCTCTGCACCGGCCGGTGTCTCCAAAAGCTCCTCAATACGTCGCATAGCGTCCTCTATTGATGAGACGCAAGCTTCTCCGCCTTGCTGCCGTAACGCTTCGGTTATCACTTCAAGATATTCTGAAACAGATATTTGATACTAACATTAGCCTTAAGCCTATATGTTACTCCATGTCATAATCTACATATCTGTGTGTCCACCCAAATGCATCGAGCCTTTTCCACGTGAGAGAATAATAAAACTTAACCTACCTCGCGGATTTATTTTGAATATTGTAAGGCACTTAGGTGCCGTTTTTGAATTTTTGAAATCATTTTGTAAAATATAGGGTAGGCACTGTCTGTAACAAGTATGTGTTGACACGTCTATAACCTTAGTCTCTCCCGTGACCATGATTGCTGTAAAGCATTCGAAACGTCGGGAACCAAAAATCAAAAGAAATCCGCAAAATCATCCGAAAATATAGTTTTGTTATAAGTTAAATTTTGTCAACAGGTGGCGCTACCTACATGTACATAATATTACAAATATAAAGAAGGCCCTTAAAGACTTCCCTGAACGAAGTAAGATTGAGTTGCTAGTATGGGTATACTAAATAGTTATAACATGAATTAAAATATGAATTGAATTGGCACTCCTATCATCTATATTCTATATGAATAGGAGTGTCAATTCAATTCAATTCAATTCAATTCAATTCAATTTTCAAAGCGTGCCAGTTGGTCACAGACTACTTCGCCAATGTCACGTAGAATGGAGAAGACACGAAGGAGATTGAATAGCAGTATCATAATTTACGTCTTTATGGCAAATGACTGGTATATCTTCTCATAGAAACAGAATCTAGGTAACTTACCGTAGTAATTTTTTTTTAATCTGTATTATAACATATTATAATATACTAGCATTGCCCGCGGCTCCGCCCGCGTTCAGATGACCAAAAACCAAATTTTTAGGTTGTTGTTATTAGTATAGTCATTACAGTTACATTACAGTTTCTGTATTTTTTCTCAGAAATGAGATATTTTTCCACGGTAAAAAGTATCCTATATGTTGACCCAGATAATCAGCTATGACCATACCAGATTTTATCAAAATCCGTCCAGTAGTGTTTCTGTGATGCGGTAACAGACAGACAGACAAAATTTTTAAAAACTATAGATTCGGCCTCTGTATCGATAATAATGTTTATTTCAATAAGATTTTCCAAAAATATCTAATGTACAGATTCGGCTGAGTTACAATTTTATTATATGTATAAATAAAAGCTATGTATATTAGTAATTTTTTACAGAAAATGGTCAAAAAAGATGTTTTATTTCATCGTCTTTTAATAAAAATCACTTTTCAGTAATAAAGGCATCACTCCTCGATTACATTGCGGACGTAAATTGAAACTGTAAATAAATCTCGCAACATTTTTTCCATAAAATATTAAAATATCAACGTATAAAATGTTTTTACTTGAAGTCAAACGAAAAAACGCGTCAAAACGGATTTATTTTTCGCAGAACTGTACGAGTATTTGGGAGAGCTGAAATATGTATTTTTGAGGTAAAATTTTTTTGAACATTTGCAACTAAAACTGGAATATTTAAAACACAAAGCTAGTTAAGCGATACGATGTAAAATTTCGTAGTTTTTTGTTTTTTTTTTTTATCACGCGGAAGTAGCTCGGGGCTGCGCTAATTGCAATTTATTATAACACTAGCGGAACCGACAGACGTTGTCCTGTCTACACGTCTTTAATTTGAAAATTTCAAACTTTTTTTAATAATTTTTTTGATGAAAATTATTATTCAAATTGTGAATCTAAACCATTCCCAGATCCCCTTGAACACACATAAAAAATTTCATCAAAATCGGTCCAGTCGTTTGAGAGAAGTTCAGTGACATACACACTCACAGAAGAATTATATATATAAAGATTTATTAACAGCCTAAAAATTATATACAATCGTAACAACTAGTGAAATACGTCTCTAGTATTGTTTACAATAAGTATTGTAAAACATTATTAGAAACGTGTTATAGAGCTCTTATCTTATAGGAAACAGTAGATTTTAAGAAAAAAAAACAGCCTTAATCGAATGAGAGTTTCCGCCCATATACCATTCAATGCATAAACCACGTAGATCCGTTGCTCACTCACAAAAACGATCAATGACCCAACATGCTTTATACACATTTTCACATTTATACTAATGACAGGTGATATTGTACAATGTGTGTTGGGTGACGGTCCTTGACTCAAACTGAGATAAGCAACTGCTTATCCTAGTTTGGGTCGAGTATAACTATACTGAGTACGTATTGGGGTAATCACAACAAGTACCTGGAGTACACGAAAGTCAAGTCGGTATTGGAATGCACTAAACGTCACACCTACCATCCATTAGAAATGAGCTTGAAAATGGTAAATCGCCTAAATTCTGATGATGACTATGCGTAATGATATTTCCGTTGCAATGTAGTAAAATGTTAGTTTATAATTATATTATAATGTAAGAATTTATATATAATGTAAGAATTACCTTTCCTACTCTCGGGGGCGTGAGTGTCTTTTGTATTTTTAATATTAGAGGCATACAGTACCCCGTTTAGGAATATTTTATTACGAAAAGTATTCTAGGTGTTTGTTACTCCGAAGTGCTAAATTTCCAAATTCAAACCCTATTAAGCCGTTTTTGATTGAATGTGTGACCAACATACACATATTTGTATACTCGTACAAATATTTATATTTAAAATATATAGAATGTGATACATCTGTGATGATGAAAGTATATAAAAGTTAAATAAATAGAATTTATTTTCCACCAGTTACCTGGGAAGTCTTCCTGGGCATGTAAAGGTCCACTGTCTGAGAACGCTGCGGTGATGAGGTGGGGGTAGGCGAGCCTCATCCAGGTGGCCATGCTACCTGCGTAGGAACACCCCACGAGGGCGACGTTACCATCCCTGTACAGGATAATATGTCAATTAGTATAGATATCAATAGGAAATTAGGAATTGTTCCATAAAATCGTTTTGGTGTAGTGCGGAAAATGACATGGTGTACACTGTACTGGTATGACTTATTAAGTAGTATACTTATAATTTGTCCTCCATCCCGCACTTGGCCAACGTAGTGGGCTATAGCCTGATGCCCTTCGTACTCAAGAAAGCCCCGTACCCAGCAGTGGGACGTTAAAAAGGGCTGAATACATACATACATAATTGGTATCCGTGTTTATTCCTACTGTTTTTTGGATGTAGATAAACAAACAAGATAATTAGACAGTCTAAGTCTTTCAAATAAACTTTTACCAGCATTTTTGAATCGTCAACTTAATTTAAAGAGAGTTAGTGTAGTCAGTCCGTGAGGAAGCTACCAACGGCTCGGAAGATGTGTTACAGAGAAAGTCCCTATTTTAAATTTTTATTTATTTATTTATTAGCTTTTCAAGGGAAACAAACAGTACAATAAAAAATTACATTCTAAAACATATAAAAGTAATGCTAAAAACCAACCAAGTTTCCACAGATTCACAGCACATAAACAAAAGCTTACCACCACGATAAGATGATACATATTATATAAAAATTTTGAATTTAAAAAAAAACTAAATGTTACCACTTAATAAAACATCAAGTAATTTTGCAGTTAAAAGTTAAAAGTAACAATATACATACAACCTACAGCAAAACTACCTATCATAAATTAAGTTTTACAATATTTTTTTAAAACTATTATATTTAAGATGAAAGATATCTAATACATATTATTTGAAGCATACTTCGTTTTAGCCTTACGTATTGCGAAAAGTGGTTTATTTACGGTTTTTAAATGTTACGAATAAGTTACGAAATTTTAATATAATATTAAACACACAAATTTGTTCTGTTCTAGATTCATATTAATATAATAAGAAAATAAATATAGTTTTACTTGTTTTCTGGTAATTAGAGATGAAATTTTATCATGAAATTTATATGGGACCATTCTTGAGTTAATAAAAACGTGAATGTATCGCGTTACATAGACACGAATTAATCGTCTCGTCTTTCATGACGTCGACCAAATATTTTAGATGTTACCTATACGACGTAAGAACACGTCTACTATTCGAAGGTTTCGCAACTGTCTCTTCTGGCGCTCGGTAACGGACATACAGTCAGAAACGTCCACAAACTTAGAGCTTTTGTTGTTTTAAGTTGTGGTTTTCACAAAAATCAAGAGTAAAATGTATAAGAAAAGGTGAAATCGCAACATTTACAGTTGGAACGAATCCAAACCCAGACAAGAATCTTTCAACCTTCGTAAAGTTTACTTTGCAATTTATCTGTTTGGAAAGCATTGTGAGGAATTTTGTAAGAATGCACTGATAACAATTTTTTAGCAAAAAAATGAAAAAGGAATGATGAATTGGCTTAAAGTTCGCTCCCACGTGAAGTCAATTCAAACGTTGGCATCTTGTTATTTAGAAAAAAATATATACTTTTCTAAATAAAATATTAGGAGGTTAATGAGTTGTTATAGTGAGATTGAGCGAGTTACTATTCTAAGAAACTAATTATATAAAAAACTAGCTTCTGTCCGCGGCGTCGCTCGCGGCTCGGTTAGTTTATTTATGTATGTATAATTGCTCCACTACTAAGGGTTGAAAAAAGTGAGGGATTACTAAATCAAATACTCCGCTATGACATGATGTAAAACAGCTAAAGCAATACGTACTTAAATTGCCCATGTTCGAAGTCATCACTCTTCACATACTGTATGAACTGAGCCAAGTCTCCCAGCGCCTGGTCCACGTTGAGGTATCGCAAGTCCGATACGTTCGTGTCACTGAAAAATAATATTGTCCTAATTAGATCACTTTATTGACTTTACTTTTGCATTTTCATTTTTCCTTTTAAGTTTTCAATATCGAATAAGTATCGAATACGACGCATACCTGCTTATTAAGCCACAAAAGCTAGATTTAAAAAAATGTACGAATAGAAAAAAAAAACAAAGTAAGCCCAATTTATATTTTCTTCATGTAAAAAAACGAGTACGTTTGCACAAAAAATTTCATATTAATAAGAAGGATTTGGAAAACTTTCAACATTCAAATACGAGTGCGCCCCAACTCGCGGACCTTTTGGTAACAATCCAGGTTTTTAAAAAGTTTTGTTCAAATTATGCAGTAGTAAGATAGGTATTTACTGTCTTACTATTTTTTACTTTATTTTTTGTAAAACGTGTTAGGGAACAGTTTTTAGAGCCACACTTTTAATATAATTTGCATCTAATATAGGTATATTGACGACATGACTGGCTCAGTTTGTAGTGGTCGCGGGTTCGAGTCCCGCTTGGGCATTCATTTGTGTGATGAGCACGAATGTTTGTACTCCAGTCATGGGTGTTTATATTTATAATATGTATGTATTTAAAGTTATATATGTGTAGTGTATCAACTATCTGGTATCCATAACACAAGCCTCGTAGCTTACCATGGAACTAGATGGCGCTGTGGTAATCTCCTAACATATTTATTTTATATTTTATATTAGACGTTTATGTAGGAACCATTATTCGAGTTCGTAAGTATACATTTGCACGCAATAATATTTGTACATAATAATTCAACCCTTTTTAACGTCCCACTGCTGAGCTTAGATCATTTAATGCGAATTACTTCACCTATATCATTGGACCAGACCATAGCCTACTACGCTTGCTAAGTGAGAATTAGCAAATTTTATTTGTGGAAAGGCAGCTGGTAATAATGATCAAACATGATTGAAGGGAACAGAACGAGGATTTCAAGTTATTTGTCTTAATTGTCCATTTCTTGAAATAGAAGTCAAGAAAACAATTTGTCACTTTCATTTCCAACCAAGTTGTTTCGTTTAAACCTCGAATTAAGAGTAGCTCTTAAACAGCTTAGCTTGATTCCCCATACAAACTTTATACCCATTTTCACCCTCTTAAGCGATGACATCCGGGATAAAAACTATCCTATATCCTTCCCAGGGTCTCAAACTATCTTCTTACCAAAATTCATCTAATTCGGTTCAGTAGATCCAGAGATTACCCCTACAAATGCACAAATACACAAACTTTACCTCTTTATAATATTAGTTTTAACACCTCCACGTAAATTTTTAAGAAATTAATTAAATTTCTAAGAAATCTATTGTTAAGTGTAACGCCGGCATCTCCGCGGTCGTGGAGGAAATATATAACGTTTAACATTATTATACAACTTTTATTTTTAAGCAAATTATCTTCTATCAGCAAAATTACTTTTCAAATAAAAAGAATCGATAGAGAATTGCAACTCGTGTATCAGCAGTAGCAAACTTAGACCAATAATAACAATCGGAGTTTATTGGTTTGATTTGGAATTTCCTGCGCGTTTCATTGGAAGAATTACTAAAATTTTTACAATCGCACTATAAGTCGCACTCCTCCAAATTCAATGAAAAAGTTGTATATTTGGTAGGTATGAGAATAGGTCGTAAAGTATTTTTCAACCTCCTATCCTCACTCCCCCATTTTCTAATCGAGATTTTAGTAGTTTTGTTTAAACAATATCATATTAATACATATATAATACATTAGGCGAACAAAAACGCATGTAAATAGCAAAAAGGCAATTTTCTTGGAGAATGCAGTATTACAATGGAACGTTCGTAGCTGCGTCGTGTCATCTGTTGACCGCGGGTCATTTGGACAATCGACAATTAACCTGTGACGCGTTAGGGCTGTCGCTTATGAGTTATTTATTCATATTGTAGATGTTATCTGAAATTGTATGTGAGCACTCCAATTCTGTCAGAGATCGAGAGTTTTATTTTCGTATTAAATATATATATATATATATATATATATATATATATATATATATATATATATGTATATATATATATGTGTATATATATATGTTTTTAGACATTAAGATATTTGTCTTACTCAAGTTAAGTCAAAACGTGTGGTGCTACCAAAGTCGCAGTTCGATAATAACTAAATATAGTGAATAAGGGGTCATTATGTCTAGTAGAATGATGCTTAAAAGAAAAAGTCAATATCTATATTGGGCCCGACCCGAGATTCAAACTCAGGATCTCTGGTTTTGCAGTAAACATAAACACAAATTGACTCCATGACAAAAGAAAAATCACGTAAATATGAAAACAAGTTAAAAAATAAAATACAATGTTATACTCATAATATAAATAAGTGTACTCATTTATATTGTATAAGGAACATAAGGAAAAAAGCAAAACATATAAAGATTGTTTTTGATTGCTACAAATTTTGTATATTTTAAAATTTACTCAGCAATTTTTATAGTAACTACTACTATAAGTAAAATATTTATTATTTAACAACATTTTACTAAAGAAAAATATATTTTTAATTGCAATCGACAACCCTACGAACAATTGTACTTGACGCCCAGACTGCTCACATCTACTTAAGAGTAATTGAGATTATGAACGAAATTGCTAAACTCGCTTCAGATTAGGAAATCCTATATGTTCGGGAACTGCCCACAGGAACGCTGACTTCACAGGGAGGCTATTTATAAGTAGACCTTATTAGAATCGTCTGTGTTAATAAAAACTTATAAAGAAATAATAGAATAAAAAGAGAAATAAACCACTGGACTATATAATGTAGATTGTGGGTTTGATTCCAATGCGATGTGAATGCTTGTATTGTCTGGTTAAGGCAATATAAGACGTTGGGAGGCAAAATTTAACATGCATAGTCTGAAAGTTGCACTTGACTGCAATAAAAATTAGCACGTTAAAGCTTAATATTTAGTCGACTACGGAATCCTAGACAAAACTACTTAAATGATTGGTTCCATCATAATAACTTTGCCTATTACAGGATCAAAGTTATGTCTCTAAAAATTTCATAGTTAGCAAATTACTCATTTCCTAACTAATCGTAAAAATGAGAAAATAAGTTTGTTTGTTATTCTTTAATATCTGGACCGTTATACCGATATATCTACATAACTTTAGAGATATATATTTTGTAATGGAGACAGATAAATGCTATTTCTTAAAGTTATGATCTGTGGATAAAAATTTAAACTATAATCTATATTCAGCAAAATAAAAGCTTTTTACTAACAAAACGGAGTGAGGGCGGTTCGCTAGTATTTTATATCGAACATAAACAAAGGCAGGGGGCCGAAGGTGCCAATGCATTAGTCTCCGTCACATCATTAACCATAATGGTCGCCATAATGTCCGCTGGACCTTTGCCAATGTGACGTCATATCAAGCGCAAGCCCTCGCCAACTTTGTATTGGTTTTAGTTAATGTTTATGAGACGATATATGGTATTGGAAAATGGTAGATACATTTTTGAATTTAATGTCAAGTGAAACTAGCGATTGCTAGAGGCTTTGTCTGTCAATGTATGTAAATGATTAACTCCCTTTTTTACACTTTATTATTATTATTATAGTTCCGACGAGACAAAAAAGAGGTAAAGTTTGTGAGTTTGTGACGTAGGCGGTAATCTTTGGATCTACTGAACCGATTTAGATGAAATTTGGTAAGAGAGTAGTATAAGACTATGGAAAGGACATAGGATACTTTTTATCCCTTAAAGCCGTGAAAATGAGGATGAAAGTTTGTATTGGGAAGCACGTTAGGGACGAACCCGAGCGAAGCGAGGGTGAGTCGCTAGTATTATTATACAAATAATCCACCAATACTGTAATGAAAACTGGGTCATAGCTAAATCACTGAGAATTCTAAGCTTTTGATCTCCAACTATCGGTTAATTTCAAATGCAATCAAAACAACAACGAACCGTGTAGAGGTTTCAAACAAACGACATCGAGGCTGGACGCGGAATCGCAACCTACTAATTACTCGAATACTAGAGACTATTGGAATGTGTCACACCGTAGTTATGTAACTTTTCTCTGTTATGGGAGTTGTAGGTTCGAGTTTCGCTTGAGGCAGATATTTTTGGCTAGGACTTTTAAGAATTGTCCAATAAACTGATAGTAGAGATCTTTAGCATATAATTACCTGGCAACAAAACAGAACCATTAGATAGTTATTTATTTATAACAATTATTATGAGGGCGTTTAAAGCCGTCGCTGCCATATATGAAGAAAAAATGTTGTAAAATATCATTATCATTATTTCTTCTGCTGATTGTTTTATACGTATATTGATGTCAACTTATCGCCGTCTACTGCTGGAGAAAAGCTTTCCCCATAGAACGCCAACCATCCCCATCTTAGACAGCCCGCATCCATCTTGTACCATCACCTCTTTCAAGATTTTATCAGGTTGGCCAATCGTCATTTTCATTATTTTTAGAGCGCAAGTATAACTAGCATCGTAAGAGTCAATTTTGAACAACGATACAACTAAGCTACAATACAAAAATAATATCTTTTTCATCTCACTTCTATTTTTAACCGACTTTCAAAAAGGAGAAGGTTCTATATACGTCTGTATGTACATATATTATTTTTATTTTATAACCTAGTTATTTGTTTTTAAATATTCATTGCTTCAGACGCCTTTTATTAACACTTCCTAACTCAAATCCTTAGAGTTTTGCGAGACGAAGACTGTACTCTGCCTCACGGGAGAGATCATTGTTTCTAGTCTACCTCGCGGGAATTTGTTCATACTCAATTATCAAGGGAGCAATTGCTATTATTCTATTATGTACACCTGTGTCTCATATTTTAAGTTACAGTATCCATACTAATATTATAATATACATGTAAAATGCACGCTATCTGTCTGTTTGTTGCCATTTATACTTAAACTGCTAAACTAATTTCGATGGATTTTTATATAGACATAGTTTGCATCATGGATGCATGCATATGCTATCTTTTATAACCCTTTTTGTTTTGTTTATAAATTTCACATGACTAATTTTCAAATTCCCATATGAACTTTCAAACTAGTTTTAATAGTTCTTTTTAATTTATTAAGAACACCAACAACATAACACACAAATACATTTTAAATTCATTCTTAATTACAAGTTCCAGTATGTAAGTCACTTACAGGTGTCCATAGAACTGACCAACAAATTACATACATGTAATGCTAATATAAAAAGAAAATAAAATGACAAAAAATAAGGGTGAAATATTGTACTTACAGAAAAAAATCAATAGAGTAAAAAACCAAATTTAAAATTAATTAAAATAAAGCCAATGCAGGCCTTATTTCATATCATTTTATAATTGGTTTTTATTTAGTTTTAGGGGATGATAGCTAAATAAAAATAAAAAAAGTACAAGACCTGAGTATAAACCTTTACCTACGTATAATTCAAGCAAGTACATTAGCAATGAGCTACCTATTCTATATACATACATACTACCTTTAGTGCATGCAGAATTAATTTATATGTATATATGAAACATTATCACAAAAGATATAGATTAAAAAAACAGTTATGTAATAAATAGGTAAAAAGCATTTACCAAAAGGCAATCTTTAGTGCTACGGTGTATATAGCGACTGCACAAACACTTGTTAGGTCCCAACGTCGATATCAACTGCATCGCCTCGATTATTGTTGTGAGAGAGGTGAGACCAATTTTACGATTTAGATTAAAACGTAACTTACGAACGTAATAAAACCAATCTATTCGATTGGTGTATTGGGAATAATAATGAGAAATTTTAGTATAACGAATCTTACTGTCTATTTAACTAATGAAAAGTGAACCGAGGTTAGAATATAGATATATTTTGGTATATTACATATCTATTACAAACCCCTCCACCCTCCACCGCGTCTGTCTGTCTGTTTGTCTGAATGCGATAAACTCAAAAATACCAAAACAACTTTCATGCGGTTGACAGTGATTCATGAGGAAGGTTTAGGTGTTCTTTTACTTTTCATTACTTTTCATTTACTTTAATATATTGGCTGAAAGCAAAATTAAAAAATTCTTCTTTTATTAACCAAAGCATATAAATACAGGGATCTAGGTTCTGAATATGATTTTGTTCCTTTCGGTGTCGAGACCCTTGGTCCGTGGGGTCCTAGCGCTATAAGATTTTTTAAGGAAATAGCAAAAAGGTTATACGACGTCACAGGAGACCGAAGAGCTGGCAGCTACTTCGGACAGAGAATTAGTCTAGCTATTCAAAGGGGGAACGCTGCCAGTATCTTCGGAACCTTGCCTAAAGGGACTCTTTTTAATAATATTTTTTAGTTATTATATTATGTATATATACTTAAGGTTTTTTTTTTAGTTTAATGTATTGTTAATATTAATGTTAAAAGTATGGTAATAAATTTGGCTGAAATATATGAAGATATGAAATATGAAGATATCGAAAAAAGGTCATGCTGATTGGAAGCTGTATTGACATGAAAGTTGATTTAATTTATTATTTAATTTAATTATATAATAAATTATTGTATTGTGGAATTGTTTGTACCTACGGACGACTCCGAGCAAACCGTGGATAAGTTGCTAGTTTTTAGATATTTACATGAAGAATTTGCTTACAAGGTAATTTTTAAATATTTGTATCTCAAAATACTAAATTTATTTTAATTCTCTCTTCACAATATGTGACGCTATATAAAGCATGATTATCTGGTACCCATATTGAATTACACTCTGCCAGCGTTGTGGACTATGACCTGATCTCCCTCGTAGTAAAGGGAGGTGCCCAGCAGTGGGACCTTGAAAACGGCTCTATATAACGTATATACTTCATAGACTTAAATATATTTTTGAAAGCACAATATTATAAAACTTTCGCATTTATTATTTTATAAGGAATAGTTCTAAGTATCAAAATGACTTCGCATTAGAAAGTTTAGATGAAATCATATCAGACGTGAAGTAGAGCTTGTGTGAGTTTATGAGTGTTTGGAAACTATAGTTATTACAATAACGACAATGTATATCTGTAGCCGTATATATAGCCGTACTTATAGCCTGAAACCTAAACCGTATCCTATAACATTGCCCTTATTGTCATTGCATTAGAACCCATTTTCGCAGATTTTAAGGTTTTTTTAAGATAGATAGATATGGTTTTTCGTTCAGGTTCAACGTGAAAGAGTAACAAACATACATACAAACTTATTAGTACCATTTTGTTATACAAATAATATAAACAAAATAAATATATGTTAATAAGTAGATAGATAGACAGTCATAGGTTACCTTTCATTCTGTGCAGCTTAATTTTACTATAAACTGTATGAACTTACTTGGTAGGCCTCGATTTTCCATAATATCTATGTTCTGTATAGAATAGTCCCGCGTTCAGCCACTCTGCGAGCTCGTACGCGAGGCCGCCCTGCACCCACCCGGGAGAAATGCTCCATTCGCCCCCCACGAAGATCACTATGTGGTTAGATCCTCCGATTGCACTGTTGTAGTAGTATCGCTGTAATATATAATTTTAATCAGTTAAGTGCCATGTAGTGGGACGTTACAAGATCATTGATATTATAAATAGCTTTTTTTCGGCTTTGCTTGCGTAATATTAATATTCTATGTTTGTAAAAAAAATTGGTTGTCTCTGTGTTATATTTTGAAACAAATTTTGATAAAAGTTATTAAGATAACTGGCGATGAAGTAATGCTCTAAAATATATATAATATTAAATGAGCAATTCTTGTATATATATTTTTTTCGTGTATCTCGGAAACAGCTCTGACGATTTGGATCAAATTTTGTATTTAGATAAGGTTTTGCTTTTTAAATTTATATATAGGTGTTTTTCCTGCAAAAAAGATGCAAATTTTTATATCTTTCCCAAAAATGCCGAGTGAAGCTCGGTTGCCCGGGTACCATATTATGTTATCACCGAAATCGATTTCCACACCATAATGTTTAAACAATAAACATAGTAATTACTTACTAAAAATGTCAACTATACGGAAATATAATACTTTCTTAGATTTACGCGAATATTTGACATTTTAAATAAAACTATCTTTTCGGATTTTTCGCGGATTTATTTAGATTTTTTGGTTTCCGACTTTTCGAATGCTTTATAGCAATCATGGTCACGGGAGAGGCTAAGGTGTTAGATGTCTCAAAAAACATAGTTAGGACCGCCCAAGTCATTATATTCGTTTCGATAGACCACAAATCCTCGCAAAAGAAAACCGATATCGCCCTAGAATGATTCGAGAAGCCATTGAAATTAAAAAAAAACATCCAAATTTAAATAGAGAAGATAGCTGGGTACTACCATCGTCATGGGATCCTGTTATTAATATAATAAAATCAAATAATAAATCCAAACATAACAGACAGGTAGATGTAGTAAGTTCTTACTGTGTGGATCAAAATGACAGTATTTCAAATTAATATTTTTCATTCATAAATGTATGTAGTAATAGTGTTGCTTAATCATTTGGTTTTTAAATAATAACAAATTAAATTAAAATTAATTTAAACTTTTTAAATTACACATAGAACAATTATGTGCCTTAAATAATTAATTTTTTTTTATGGTTATAAATATAATGATGGCAACACTAAATATAGATTACTAATTAATACTTTTTCTAAAAAATTGTAACAATTATAATAATAATTAAGAACAGCCAAAACTAAATAAATAATACTCCATATTCAATTATAATTATAAAAATAATTAAAATTATATAAAAATGTTTTAAAATTGAATTAACAAATATTGTAATGTACTTTGGTGCCATTTTTCAATTTTTTGAATTAATTTTGTTATTTTGTGGAGAGGCTGTTCGTAACAACTGTATTTTTTGAGACATCTAATACGTTAGTCTCTCCCGTGACCATGGATGCTGTAAAGTATTCGAAACATCGGGAACCAAAAATTAAAATAAATCCGCGAAAAATTCCGAAAAGGTAGTTTTATTTATACGGAAATAGTGTGTAGTTAACACATAGTCGGTGTACATAAGCTTTGGCATAATTATTAAATGTTTGAGCTAACATTTAGAACACTTATCACAACATGTAATCATCCAGGAAGATAAGGATCTGTTTTTTAACGAATGAGGAATATCTACATTAATCTTGCAAATTCACAAAATAATGGAATGTAAGTATGTGTGTTTGTTTCTCCTTCATGCTGTAACGGTTGGACGGATTTGGATGACATTTAGTAGACAGATAGACTTAAATCTGGAGTACTGCAGAATATTACGCTCTAAAGCAGTTGGCGAGGATCGAAGCTAGGCTAAGACGCCAGATATAAAAAAAATGATTTTACAATAATAAGTTTGATTTGAACTTTGCAGGGCGTGCATGGGGGCAGATGAAACGGCTGCACATGTAATCTTGTATTGTCCAGGTGTACCGGCGTACCGGGCTCAACATCTTGGAACTCCTAGGTCACTCCTAGAAATTTTCGGCAAGACGAAGAGGTTGCTGAACATCCTGGAGGAACTGGGATGGCAAGAGTAACAAGAATTTAAATTCCCACACACGCAAAAAGGCGCATAGTCGTCGAGTTGCGGAAAATAGCCCGAACATACCATACCATACCAAGTTTGATTTGAGTGCATTGTTGAACTTTTTTTTGTACGCTGTGAGCTCGCAATATTTTTTTTCGCTTCAGAATAGAACCAAGTATCAAACTTCAATAATTTACAGTTATATAAAATTATTTTTATACAAAATCTGCGTAATGCTGAGTTTCTTATAAAGACGTAAGGGAAAGCGCGAGAAGATGTTGTGGTGAAACGCTCAAAGAGTAGTTAGTATGTCAGCTTGTTTCGCCCGATTCGATTAAAAAAATAGAAATCGAGTGTTATGTTTTCATGAAAATAAATTTTAATTTAATATGACCCAATTTAGAAAATGGGATAATAAAATAACAAATCTATGAAAATATGACGATTTTGGCTCATTTTGTAGTGACTCTACTTGCTGTGCTAGCAGTCACGGGTTCGAGTCCCGCTTAGGGCATTCATTTGTGTCTTGAGCCTGAATATTTGTACTCTAGACATAGGTGTTAATATTTATAATATGTATTTATGTATTTAAAGTTATATATGTGTAGTGTATCAACTATCTGGTATCCATAACACAAGCTTCGTAGCTTACCATGGAACTAGATGGTGCTGTGTGTTAATGTCCCAACATATTTATTTATGATGTACACCATTTTTATATAACGAAACATAATAGAATTTCGTGTCAAACATAAACAACATGACTTCTATCTTTTTAATCGAATCGGGCAATACAATGATATTTAAAAAAAAAGAGTTTTTCGTAACAATGTGATTGAAAAAGAAAGATACGGTGAATTTTAAAATATAATATTCATTAAAAATCTTCATCGCCTTTAGTTTAAGTCTGTGCGAGCTTCGAGAACAATGACTATAAGTACATAAATGGCGCCATTATGAATAAATTATACACAATTAACTATTATTGTGTAATAACACGCGATTTTGATTACATTTTGTTCTATTTTATTAATTTCCAACGTTTTTATAGATTTTTGCTCGCGACGCCACTCTCTTCGCTAGGTATCCTGTTTTTCCAAATGATGTAATCTATGACCTAAACGAATTTCATGAAAATCTGTTCAGTGATGCAGGCATGAACTGGTACAATACAGTTACTTTCACAATTATAATATTAAATAAATAAATGATTGTTGATGTGTCCCCATTTTATGCTGTACTTAATATAATGAAACAAGCGACCACCCTCGCTTCCCTTCGGGTTCGTTCCTAGACAAAAACAAATCTATCCCACAGGAACCGTACTTTTTCCAGGATAATATATAGCCTTCGTCAATGAACGGGCTATCTAATTCAAAAATATTTTTTCAAATCGGATTAATAGTTCCTGAGGTTAGCGCGTTCAAAAAAACAAACTAACAAACTCTGCCTCTTTATAATATTAGTATAGATTTAACGAACAGCTACATCTTGTGGTCAAAGACTTAACAACGGTTTAAGCGGGATTGTGTAACAAACTTACAAAACCATCACCAAGTACGAGTATTATTATTAGTAGAGATAATATTGTGTGACAAATCACACTACTATTATAAATGAGAAAGTTTGTATGTTTGTTTGTTACTTCTTCACGGATGAAATTGGATAAAATTCTAGACTTTAGTCTACACAGCTTATTATTATTATATAAGAAAAAGAATTAGGGTTCCACGCAAAAATTATAAATTGAAAAAATTGCATCTTAGGTGTAGTAAATAAATAAACAAAATATTATACCATTTGAAAGGTTTCAGTGTTGGAAGCATCGAAGTGATTTAGTCGTACTGGCAGCCATTGTTCTGAAGGGTTGTTTCTGCTTGCAGGTGCAGGAGGTGGAGGCTCTATTGTACGTAGAGTTAGGACGGGAGCTACTAACAACAGCAGCCGCCCTGAAAATAAACCTCAAATTAAAGACTTAGGTTAGGTTTTTAATTTATCCCCCAACGTACGTTCACCTTGTCGTTGTGGGAGGAGAGGTAGAGAGGTGGGTTAGGTAGTGGAAAAAAAATATTTTCATTTATCCCCTAGATTGTCTGTTCACTTTGTCGTGATACTAAGTCCGCCAGTAGCGTTTTGCAATCCAGCTGTGAATCTAAGAGACGCACTTGAGAGGCGGTAGGTTTATGTGGGTTGCTTCTCGTACGTTCCTAATAGTAGAGTGGACTGTGGGAGCAATATTTTGGGTTATTGTGGACAAGGAGGTAGAACAGAGGTAGACAACAGGTTGGGGTGTCGTGGTGTCGTTCGTAAGCGATCCTGCGACGCCCCATTAAGACTGGGAAGGTTTTGTTATTAGAGGGTACTACTGAATTCTCTAACCGGTGAGTCCCATGTAACCGCCTGTATTTAATCGCATGCGAAAATGGTATGCATTTCCCAACGTTAAAAATAGATTTTTACATTTTATTTAAAAAACACGCACGGAATCTTTTATATACCTACTAATATAATATCTATACCTCAAAAACTAATGTACACTTAATAATAACGGTATAAATCATGTACGCGTTAAATCATAGCGAGAATGCTGGCAACATTTCCTCGTTGAGCAATTCTGTTGGTGAAAACGAGTCAGCCCTTTTGCCACCGGTAAAGGCGATAAAAAGAGGTCTTTAAAGAACTTTTTTTAGTGCTTTGACTCTATAGACCAAGTGTTTTTTAAGGGTCAGGTCCAAACATTTAAATTTAAATAATATTGAAAATCTAGTAGTCCTGTTTTTCATCGGTCTTAGCTATACCTCGTGAACTATTTAAGTAAAATATATTGTATATAGTATATTGTATTTGTATTGTATATAAATATATTGTAATAATATCCCACGGGATTTACTTATTACACTGGGAAAAACCTATGCTATTCTTCAGTTTATAATCTTTCTCTATACAAAAATCGTCTCTCATATTACATTACTAGCGGCTCACCCTTGCTTCGCTTGGTTTCATCTTTACAAAAATAATAACAAATCTATCCCACGGGAACCGTTTTTCCAGAACAAATAAGTTTATGTGTTTTTCTGATGTATGAGTTATATTTTTGTAAAGTTTCATTAAAATCCATTCAGTAGTTTTAACGTGAAAGAGTAACAAACATACATACATCTTACATCCAGACATCCATACATCTTCATAAACTTTCGCATTTAGATTATTAGTGTGACTAAAAGAAGTTTTTAAACCATTTCCGTAGAAAACTATTTCAGTAAGACAAGGTAGCTAAACCACAATGTTTAAATAATAATTAGTAATATCCTCTTGACTGATGTCGGTCTTACTAAGACTAAGCAAATATCAACCTATACAAATAACGTTTTATTTAAATTCGTCATTAGTAATTTTTTGCTTAAAAATCGAACTCAGGACCTGACGATTTGCTAATTATAACTCAGCTACATAATGTACCAATATATAATTATTTTCTTTAATCTATATCTATATTATTGTTATAAAAAGGTAAAGTTTCTGAGTTTGTGATGTTGTAGGGGGTAATCTCTGGATCTACTGAACCGATTTGAGATGAAATTAAGTAAGAAGATAGTTTGAGATCCTGGGAAGGACATTGGATACCTTTTATCTCGGAATTCATCTTTAAAAGAGATGAAATTGGGGATGAAAGTTGATATGAGGAATCAACCTAGGAACGAACCGAGCAAAGCGAGGGTGAGTCGCTAGTCACAAATATACGGATATGATGATAGTAAAAAATAAAACATGTCAATTCCCACAAGAACTAACAACTAACAATGCCATACAAGGATAACAATGTTAAATTCTACATGAATAAAATAATAATGATATACGTATATAGGTTAGTTATAATATGTTTGTTTCTGAGTTATATGACATTTTATGTGATATTAAATAAAATATATAAAGAATAATAAATGTGTTGGAACTTTAACACAAGGCGCCATCTAGTTCCATGGTAAGCTATGAGGGTTGTGTTATGGATACCAGATAGTTGATACACTACGCAAATATAACTTTAAATACATACATATTATAAATATAAACACCCAAGACTGAAGTACAAACATTCGTGCTTATCACACAAATAATGCCTCCAGCGGGACTCGAACCCGTGACCGCTGACACAATACGTAGCATCACTACAAACTGAGCCACACGTGGCGTCAACTTGAAAAAGTGCGAGCGTGAGACATTTCTACTTACGTAATTTTTTTAATAAAAAAAATAAAAGAAAAAAATTAATGGTATACATATACATGTACTAGCCTATATGTATTTGTATTATGGAATACAAAATTATTGCTGTCATTAAAAAAGAAAAGTTTCTGAAGGATTCTTTAATAATATTTTAAGAAAGACTAAAAAAAATGTGATCGAAAATATTCTATATCAAAACTACTATCACGGTAATGTTTATGTAATGTTACCGTGATACTATCTATTATATTCTACTAATAAATAAGTTTACAACTTTAAATAAGTATACATCTATACAGATAAATAAAATTGAAGTGTCTGTAATGTCAAAATAACAGCGTTTTACTAAATGCATATGAAATTATATACGATACTTATAAGAAAAACACATTTTTAAAATTTTTGTCTGTCTGTCTGTTTGTTCCGGATAATCTCTAAAACGGCTGAACTGATTTTGACGGGACTTTCACTGGAAGATAGCTGATGTTATAGGCAGTATCATAGGTTACTTTTATTTTAGAAAAAGAATTAGGGTTCCGTCCGTTAAGCTTACATCACCTTTCAACACACTACGTCACTTTATTAAAACCATATAAAAACAACAAAAAATGTCACAGAATCTCGAGCCCTCCGTTACGTTTCGTTACGCCAAGCAATACCCCTTTTCCCAATATATTGACGAGCATATTTTCCGAATTCCCGCTAAGAGTATCATGCCATATATAAAGTAAAACAAAACTTTTAACTCTAAGCAAATTTTTTTACGACGATCTCGATAATTCTAGATCATAATCAAATTTTACCACCACTGCACACACACTACAATATATTTATATAACTTCTGTGTAAAAATTTACATGCTTTTGTATATATTTTGTCAAAATTTTATTAAAGAACAGTAGCCTATGTGTAATCTATCTACACGTCAAATTTTATCCAAATCTGTCCCGCCGTTTCAGATTTTCAGGAACTTTCGCATTCAAACAAAATTGTGATGAGGCTTTTGATATTCAATTCAATTCACAAGTTAATAGCGTCAAGGCGTGCCAGTTGAGCACAGATTACTTCACCAATGTCACGTAGAATGGAGAAGACAGGAAGGAGATTGACACGTAAAAACTTTTGATCTAACAGAGAAAGTCCCCAAGTGATCACGTGTCACGGTGGTTGTTTTAAAAAAAAAAATTTTTTATTAAAACTTACACATGTTTATTTAATCACAGCACTGAGTTACTAATATATTATCTGGTATAATTGTAATGTGAAACAATGATATTATTATCATTAATATTTTGATAGAATTTATTTTCTACAGCAAAGCTGTAAAAGTACAATAATATACATTTATTTATTACTTTTAATTTTAATAATAGTATTTTTGTTCTTCCATAAATTATTATAATTATTATGCAAGTGATCCAGAAACCAAGCAATTTTAAAAATATTACTTATTTTTCTAGTAACTTCTTGCTTTATTCCATTATTGTGTTTCTATTTAATCCATATTTACTAAAAAATAATAATAGTACAAAATAAGAGTATAGTCTTGGATCTACTAGATATATGGAAAAAAAAATTAGATATATTTTAATGGCAGTGAAGGCAAAGGCGCTTGATTTGGAAACTGAGTGAAGCGGGTTCAAATCTCTGGGTACACACCTCAGATATTTTTCATATGCGAATCATTTTCAACATGATCCCTTATCTTACGGTGAAGGAAAACATCGTGAAGAAACCTGTTTGTCTGAGAGACCTTAGCAAGCTGTCGAAAACATGTTAAGTCCGCCAAAGCGCCCTTGGCCAGCATGGTGGACTTTTTCCTGACCCCCTCGTATTGAAAAGAGGCCTGTAGTGTCTCTGAACGGGCCACTGGACGTTTAAAAGGGCTGATTACAATTTGCTGATTGCAAATTTAATCAACAAAAGAGGGAAAGCTCGTTGGTAACGGTACTTGATTTTGACAATTTCGAACTTACACACCTTTGCTTCATACATATAGAACGCTCTATAAATTAGGAGATATCATTAACACGATAATCTTTATCAAAGTGGAGATAAACAAAATACCAAAATGATATTTATGAATGCGATAAGATAAATCTATACTAAATATTAAACAAAGACTGGGGTAATTGTTTGTTCATTTTACTAGAATTACTCGCGACTTGCTCTCGCTTTGGTCAGGTAGGTCCGTGAGTGGGTTAGTGTGGCAGTTTATAAATTTAATCCAAATCAGTTCAGCCGTTTAAGAGTGAAATTGTAGCAAACATACATTTTCGCATATTTTACAATACATAGTAGATAGTTGGATAAAATGAAAAGTCGAGGTTTTCGTATCAAGTCGCATAAGGCATATAGCTAGCAAGGGTAAATAATTAGTATAATATAATAATAAATCCGTATGTTCGTTGCTCTAATTTGTATTTTTAGCCGACTGCGACGAAGCCCAAAGCAGGGTTATGTGTGTTGACCTGTATGTCATATGTATGTACCCTCGTAGTTACCAAACGGCTGGACCGATTTAAATGATTCATACGTCGTTAATTCTTCATGATAATGCAAATGTCATAGGTCGGAGACATGCAAACACATAGCAAGACTCGCGGCAAATATAAAACATAATTGTGTCTCCGACTGCATAGAGTTGTTGTTGCAAAAGTTGGGAACAAGTTGAACTTGTTCGTGAACTTGTTCCCAACTTTTTAGCTTATTTCAAGTCAAGTCTATTACATAATTTTTCTCTCTTGCATAATGGAACTTTATAAAAATCTTTACTTATAAACTTATACCTATATAGGTACTATTAAACTTTCTTACTTGTTGTATAAAAAATATATAAATATAACATGATTTTATTTTGTTCTGTTCATGCCATTTAAGTAACCCTGCCCCCGGGTGGGGTCGAACCACCAACGTTTTAGTTAACAGTCGAACGTGCTAGCCATTGCGCCACAGAGGCATGTGCTCTTTTTGATCAAAATTAGTGAAACACATCTGAAAATGATCTAAAATTTATAGATTCAAGTGGAATCAGCTATACAATAATTGGATTAGTATTATAAATGTGACAATTTGTATGTAAGAGTGTATGTTGAAACGGCTTAATTGATTTTGGATAAAAGGTACATAGAGTAGCTCCTTCTAGGCAGTCTATTTATTACTGTACAGTTAAAGCTATTGTTCCATCCCGGATTAGAGGAACAAATCAGTCATAATATTTATTGACTAGTGACTTACCCTCGCTTCGTTCGGGTGCTTCCCTAAGTACGTATATATAGTGTTGATACACTTTAATAGAACTTTTTCAGAGGCATAACTCCGTAATACATTGTTTTCATATAACTCTGTTGGTTTACGCGGAGTACGCCAATAAGGCTCCCAGTCAGCATTATTTTTTCCGACATCTTTCATCATCATCATCTTGAATTATACACATAAACCTTCCTCGTGACTCACTCTGTCTATTGGTGAAAACCGTATGAAAATCCGTTCGGTAGTTTTTGAGTTTATCACGTTCAGACAGACAGACGCAGTGGGAAAACTTTATTTTATAATATATAGTGATATGAGATTATTGAAGAAGATACTTAATATGCTTAAACATATTGAATAGATTTTGATAAAACTTGATAATTATATAGCTCTTAACTAAATTATACTTAATAATTAAGTTACGATTAAGTGCTGTTAAAAGGTTTAATATTTACGTTGAAATACAATCCCCTGATATTCATTGTACCCAAAACACTCTTAAATTTCTGTCACAAACAAGCCATCCAAATTGCGTACCGAGGACAGCGTGCGACAAATAAATCATCATAAATCCACCAGATTAGAACCCCCTACCCCTGTGCAGGGGTAGATTACAGAGCTGGTTTTAATTGAGTTAAGTGCAACCCTTAAAGTCAAATACTGTTGGGTCAATTTATTTCATTATTTGCCTATGTTTAGAGCTCTATGTAGAGTTAGTTTTAATTCAACCTACTGACTTCAATAGAGTGTATATTTTTGTGTATTTTTATGGTTATTTTTGTAACTTATATGACTTTTAATATATGATAGTATATCGAGTTGTCCCTGTGGTATATTAGTAGAATACAAAAAGGTACTGAAATATGCATGGGTTTAGGTACTGAGCAAAGGAAGTCTAAGTATTATTATAAAGAAGGTTAGTCCAATCTAAGAAACAAAAGTAAAAATATTTTTCTCTATAAAAAGTTTTATAAAATATTTATTTTTGTAATATATGTACAATGACTTTCTAATAAATATAAATGTAATTATTCCTCCCATAAATTATAGATGGATGGCGGCAGATTTTTCCATGAAATTTCTATAAGGGTAAAAACTCTTAATTTAAGGTAAAAATATCGCATAAAAACATATATACCTTGTATTTAACACCTTACCTCACCTTGAAAAAAAACTAAATCCATCAAAAAACCATCCCCGCCCCCGGGTGGGGTCGAACCACCAACCTTTCGGTTAACAGCCGAACGCGCTAACCATTGCGCCACAGAGGCATGTGCTTTACTGAAGTATTCCCCTGCAACTTCCAAACAATTGGATCAACGTACTAGTCACATTATTACTTTTATAAATGCGATAGTTTTATTTGTGTGTATGTTCGTCACTTCTTTACACCGAAACGGCTGGACCGATTTGGATGAAATTTAGTACAAAAACAGGTTATGACTTGGAATAACACATAGACTACCATAAAACAAGGGTATGTGTAAATATGTAAGTGGTATGCGTAAATGAATTATAAATTAAATTTTGTTAGAGCGGCTTTACGAATATACATGATATAAATATATGACGTTATAATAAATGCAGTTTGTTGTTATTGTTGATAAGAGCAGCACTAGTATTTTTTGTTCCAATATTTTAATTTCCAATATTTTATATAACCCAAAGGGTACAGTGTACTATTACTTGGCCCTACAATCATCGTCGTATCTTTCCGTCCTAAATAAAGATGTAATGAATGAAACTTTATTAAAACTTTTGTATATAAAATTACAATTTTTTACCATAAAATTTCAACTTTTATCCTCTGAAACGGCCTCAAGCGATCACATCATTCCCGAAGTAAATTATCTTCTGTAAAGTCTTTTAAGGTATATTAGCTTTTCAGAATACATTAACATTATTTTAACTTTTTAAAATCTTAAAATAGGATCTTTTTCGATTTCTGAGATTCTGTTGTAAAAACGTATACAATGACCAAGAAAAAACACTAAGTAGATCCAACCGTCTTAATTCACATAATTTATTCATTATCTCATTTAATTTATTTATATGGATAGGTACTTAGGGACTTACCCTGGCTTTGTTCGGGGGCGTTACTAGGTCCATTTTGCATTTTTAATATTATATAACTAAAGGCAACGCTATTTTAGGGTTCCATAAGTACCTCAAAAGGTAAAAAAGGAACCCTTATAAGATACCTCACTCTCTTGTCCGTCTGTCAGTCTGTCTGTGCGTGTGTCACCACCGATTTTCTCAGGAACAGGTGGACCTAGCAAAGTTGAAATTTATACCAGATACTGAGGTCTATACTTCCTATTAGGTGTATAAAAATCATGATCCTGAGTCAAGACGATAAAAAGATATGGGCAAATTTAGATTTTCGCGAAAACTTGTAAGTCCTAAAATTTACCTTAATTTTCAACATTTTTTTTAATTTTTAGGAATTTTCCCTTTACTTGTGCTGTAAGACTTTGATTTTAACCGAAATCGCCAATATTAGGTCAACCGAAAGTACCCTATAGGTTTTGGGTCGAAAACCTATTATTATGGTAGTTCCCGTTCACCTAGACTCGTGAAATTTGGCAAAAAGCAAGGTCTTACAGCATAAATAAAGGAGAAATTCCAAAAAAATTAAGTTGAAAATTAAGTTAAACAGCTTTCCTACAAATTTGTACGGAACCCTCGGTGGGCGAAGCCGACTCGTACTTGTCCGAAATTTTTGATAATTTTTTTCACTCATAGTCGCTCCACGACCGCGGACACGCCGACGTGTCAGTTAGCAATAGATTTCTTAGAATTTTAATTAATTTCTTAGAAATTTACCTGGAGGCGCTAAGAGCATCTGTGTACTAATCTTCATCCAAATCGGTTCAGCCGTTTCAGCGTGAAGGAGTTATATACAAACATTCGTTTTCATAATCGTAGTGTAATTTATTTTAGCTCAGGCTTCTGCTCCTATTATCTTCATGTCTTGCTACTTTTATTATCTTAAATTTAAAATATGATTTAAATTGCAGTTGACTGTTAAAATTCCCATATTTATCGTTCAATGACACACGCGGTACATACAGCGTGAGAAAATGAGAACAAACACATAGTATATATACATTTATATCATAATTATGTATCTACTTAGTTCCGCATAACAGCAATGTGGCGACTCATCGTCTTTTGCACGTTTTATATAGTAATAATTGATAATACTCACTATGATTTGTTTTATTGTGTTGTAGGTAACAGGTTTTATTTTTGTTATCCACGTTCTAAATCACATTGCTTGATTAGTTCTATTTAGCCAACCTCGGCTAAGCCCAAGGGAGGGTTGTGTGTTTGACTTGGATGTATGTATGTACAATCTAATCTATCCGATCTTATGTTCCTCCGTAACTCGTAAACGGCTAAACCGATTTGAATGAATTACACGTCTCGCCCTCTTGATTACGCGAGTGTTACAATTGTACATTTAAATTATAAAAAATAAGTAAATGTTAATAAAAAATAACTTAATTTGTTAAGTTAATAAATTAATAAACAATAAAAATTAATTAATTTCGCACATCGCGTAATTTAAGTAAAATCCTGTGGGTTTTTTGCTACAAAATTTAAATAAAAACAGTAGGTTTTATTATTACAATCAGTGAGCTCGAAGGTATTTCCCATTGATCATATGAACAGAAGCTTAATCATCTCCTCCTCTATTTAATTTTAAAAAGGATGAACTTCTAAACAAATTTTATTCTCCCTTTTGATAGAGATTGAGTTTTCAAAAATCGTTCAAAAATCTTTGTACAAAATGTTATGCTTCCACACGCTTTTCTGTACGCTTATGTTATGTTAGAAGCTCACTTTGTTAATATCACTGATAAATAATTCATTTTTAAGGGTATGTAATAATTTCATTTTAAATAATTAAAAATTACTAATTGTAAATCAAAAATAAGATATCCCCGCCCCCGGGTGGGGTCGAACCACCAACCTTTCGGTTAACAGCCGAACGCGCTAACCATTGCGCCACGGAGGCTTTTGATTCCTGTATTTAAAAAGGTTATATCCCACAATTCTGATAATATATAAAAATCTACTTTTAGAAAACATATCGAAGGCATTGTCAAAGTAAGGCCATGTTTTGTTTTGAAAAATCTATCATAAACACGCAGGCAGTGCTAGCCCAGTGGTAATGTTGCAAAACAAATCTAAACCGTTTTAAACCACGGACCATTGAATAGTTCATTTACGAATCATTTCCAACATGATTACCTCTCGTCTTATGATGGAACCTGTACATTAGAGTGATACTAAATAATTTTGAAATTACGTCATGTGAAACTCGGCAACCACACTTGGCCAGCGTGGTGGACTATGCTCTAATCTCCCTCGCACTCTTCAATTCGGGGGAAGCCCAAGCCTAGCAGTGGGGTGTTAAAAAAAGACTGATAGACTGAAAAAAATCTGGGCAATCTGTGTTAAGAATTTTAATTAAAAAAAAAATCTTATTTTGTCTTTTAAAAATTCTTCAGTAATACATATGAGATCTCATTTTATTACCTCACTCCTTTATCTTTCACTTGTCATTTCACTTCTTTTACCCGACAAAAATCAAATGAGAACAACTTCCCTTACTGTTATACTTCTTCCATTAGAACTATAATCAAAATTAGATCCAATATCTAGTAAGAAGTTAATGCGTGTCGAATGATGAACTTCCTCTTATCAGAATGTACTCGTAGTTACTCCATTATAGTACTCATATTTCACAATCTGTCTAATTCAGGCAATAATCTTGTATTCAGCCCTTGTATTCAGATGTTTTCCGTCACCGTAAGGCAAGTGGTAATCATGTTAGAAATGATTCGCACATGAAAGTATCAGAGGTGCAAGACCCGGGATTTGAACCCGCTTCACTCGGTTTCTCAAGCGAGCGCGTTACCACTGGGCTACCACTGCCTTTCTTAATAAACTATAATAATTAAGCTATATAATCTATATTTAGCTTTATTATTATATCTTATTAAGCATTCGTTATGTGCGTCCAAATATAGTTATCGACAACAAACATCTACTCTCTACTCCCATCTACTCTTATTGCCACCTAATTTATGACCTGAAATCAATCGTTTGACTTGTAGTTTCTGTCGCAGCTATTTTAGATTATTGAATGAGCAATCACTGTACATACATTTATTTCGTGTATCTATCTCAGTGACGGCGTTAACGATTTGGATCAATTTTTGTATTTAAATAAAGTTTTTCTTTTAAAGTTTATCTATATCGGTGTTAATTTCTGTTTTTTGCAGAAATTAACACCGATATAGCTAGCCTAGCGTAGCTCGGTCGCCCAAGTCCTAAAATCTAAATTGAACCGACCATCTATGTCATTCATTCAATTCGGACCATGAACTCTTTTTTAACATAATCTGGAGTCGCGTTTCTGTCAAAATAGGAAATTCAATAAACATTGATATCATTGTAGCGTGATTGAATAGTTTCGATCAAACTTACAACACTATTGATGGTACGATAACTAGTGATTCAGTTTTGCAAAACTGAACTGTATCGGAAATAGATCGATATGTAAAAGTAGGTGGTGGGCCTCAAAAAATTGTTTGATTTGCTTCATCTTTTATTCTGCAAAAAAGATTTTTTCTCTACTATTAAATAATTGTGAGTTAATCCTATTAGTATGCAGAAAGAGTAATATTTAAGTAGAACGTATATTACACCCTCTTTTCTTATCTTTAAGGGATGTAAATGTATTTTTTTTTAAATTTTCAATCTCGTTGGGATTCTCCTTTAGGCATTTAGGATGTCTGCCTCCGTGGCGCAATGGTTAGCGCGTTCGGCTGTTAACCGAAAGGTTGGTGGTTCGACCCCACCCGGGGGCGGGGATATTTTATTCTATTATATATACCTAGAAATTCTCTATTTTTATAATAAGTTATTTTTAAGGTGATCTTTTTTTTTTGTTAAAATATAACGAAATAATCTATAGAAATATTTGCGAGAGATTTTTCTAATGAGGCTGAGTGGTGCCGTGAATGGTCCGGGAATAAAAGTCAATATGAATCTACGAAACAATAGTCGTATAATTAAAATGTCAAAAATACACATAAATCTATTCAATTCTCTTGTTAAGACTTCAACCGTGTCAGTAGAGCACAGATTACTTCGCCAATGTCACGTAGAATGGAGAAGTTATGAAGGAGATAGCAATCACTATAAAATCAAAACAAATCAAAATAAACTTTATTAAAATAGACTTTTACAAGCACTTGAATCGTCATTTTTTATATTTTCAAAATTTAAATTATATGTCAGTATGTAAGTCCGTGAGAAATCTAGCATCGGCTCAGAAGGCAGTTCTGCTGGCAAGAATCCGGAATCAAACCCGCTTTTCCGCAAAGTAATGACCCACAAATGAAGAACATAAAAAGTTACAAACCATAAGCACCATTTTCTCCTACACCTAATTAAGGAAGTCACCTCACGTATGTATACATACACACGTGTATGAGACATGTATATGTATATATTATATTACTGTTAAGGCACAAGTAGGTTTCCCTTCGATGATTCACTATTCTTAATCACCACGTTGATATTTTGACCACGAATGTTTTAAATTGTCTTATAGATATTGTATTTTTAGATGAAGAATTATATATATATATATATATATATATATATATATCTTTATTGCACTGAACAAGTAATAAAAAAAATACATAGAAAATCACGTGGACAAAGGTGGACTTATCTCTATAAGAGATCTCTTCCAGTCAACCCATGTATGTGGGAAATAGTGTTAAGTAGCGAGACAGAGAGAGAAAGTGCAAAGAAATGATAAGAAAATATGTAAGAATAAGTATATATATATAAGTATGTATATATATATATATATATATATATATAAGCCAGGGGGCTTTGGGTAACTCATTCGCATGTATAAAAGCGCTTTGATTTAGCATCTTACATTCATACATCTAACATCCCGAGGGATTCATTTCCTTACTCTAGATCTAAAATCCTCTTATTATTCTTAAAAAATGTTACAAAAGAAGATAAAAACATATTTCGTAAGAAAACTGTAAACAAAACACTAAAGACTTTAGTTTA